TGTGAAAGCCAGAAGATGGTTGTGGTGATGACGAAGGGCTTGGTGGTGGGGTTACTTTTTGAGGACACTCTGGTGTTGTTTTTTCTTCCTGTTTATTATCTTCAACATCACAGAAAGGCTTTTCTTTTTTATTGGTGTACCTTGACAGGCTTGTCTTGTCTCTAGGTGGCTCTCTATTACTGTTCTTACCTTGCAGACCCTGTTTTTGAGTTAAACACGGAGACTGTGCTGGTGAATTCTCTTGAGTTTGTTTAAATGTAACCGACTTTGAGTTTCCTCCCACCTTTATTTTGCTCATCTTTTGTAACCTCTGATTTAAAGCCTTCTGTGTTCTTTCCAGTTCAAACAGAGTAGGATCTTCCCCTTTACTCCGCAAGGATTCTGCTGACCGGGAACGTTGTCCTCTGATAACTGGGCTCTTTTTTATTTCTGTCCTCCGACCAGCTGCTGCTGTTTGAGGTCTCCTTGGATGTTGCACTTCCTCATCAGTCCAGTCTTTTCTCGTGGTCTTTGGACTGCCGACTGCTTTACCCTTGCTGCAAGGGTTCTTTTGAACATACTGTATCTTACCACTTATTGCATTTTTCATTTTGAGAGTCATTTCTACATTTTGGCGATTTTCTATGCGTTTAGTTGGTAGACGGAGTGGAGGGGTTTCACAACTCACAATTGAAGAATTTGATTGTGTTTTAAATGCCACCTTTCCATTGTCAACACCCTTATCTTGGTGTTCTTCATCATTATCATCATCATCTTCACCGTCATCTAAGGATACTGATCCCAACAGTGAATCTCTTTGGTCATTAGGCATTATAGTACATGTCGAATCAAACGAGTTAAGTGAGGTGAGTGAAACACTAGGACTTATTTGTGTAACATATTTTGCACTGGATGCCCCAGTGATGTTCATAGATTTGTAATCTATCGGACTAACCAGAGTTCTGTTTGTCCCAGTGGACCCACAACTCTCTCGTCTATGACGTTTGTCGCACCCGTTAAGAGATTCATTCTCCGCCCCAATACCACTGTCTTCACTAAACAAAGCTAAATCTTCAGCTCCAGGCTTGCGAAGAGAGGAAATTTCAATTCGGGTTAAGAGTCGCATCAACCTGGCTTCCACTGCACGTTTTATTTTCAGTTTCTCTTCTAAAAGTTTTAACACTGACTTATAGTATTCCACTGCCTCCTCCAAAGCAGAGTCTCCAATTCCAACAACAGTTTGGCTCACACTCCTCATCCTCTGAGTGGTGTATTGAAGCAGCTCTTGCAACAAATCTGGTGGAGATTCAGTGACAGGAGGGCCAGAAGACGAGAGATTTTTCATTTGGCTTGGCCATGCAAGGTGTTCTCCATGTTCTTTCAAAACCCTTTCCCCTTCCTCTGCCATGTCTTCCAGTCCCTGAATTATTTCTTTGTAGCGTAAGGCCATGAAGGCTACCATTTGCTGCACGGAAATCTGAGTCTCGGTTGCTTGCTCCATAAGCCCAAGTACAGAATCATATTTATTTATGCTGGGATTCAAAAAGCTGTATGCAGCTTGATGAGCCTTTACTAAAGGTTCTGGAAAGTCCACTTTTTGATCCGTAGATATCTTGTTGTTGTCTTTCTTTCTGGGACCTTTAATACCCTTAGCTGCTTTCTTTGGTTTTCTGTTAGATCTTTTCTCAACCAACTCAAAGTTTTTCTCCTTTCTTACTGGCAGCATGACATTTTCCATTGTTGTTCTTGCCTCTTTTTCGATGTGCTTTACCTCTGTAATCACTTCTTCAGGGACATGTTTCTTTTTTTGTGGCGTTGTAGGTGCCTCCTTCTGAGACATCTGTACATATGGAGATTCATTGTTCCCTTTTGCATCCACTTTTGCAGTTTCAATGTTCTCTCCTCCATCTTCATCTATCTTGTTTTCTTGAGGTAGGGATGGTAACATTCTCCCCTTCCTCATGGCTCCCAAAGTGCCCAAATTGGTACCTTTGGAAGGTGAGCAGCCCATCTTTAAATCTCGAAAATACAGAATGACTTATGTCCAATACGGATGAAAACACATCCAAGGTCCTTATCCTCCTGCTGTATCTGCCATTTTCAGATGGCCGAGGCTTCACAAACAACAAAATCCCTTTGGACAAAGCTCCTGCGGAAACAGAAGGCAGATATATCCATTTCAAAAATTGCTTCCACACATCAAAAGAAGGAAAATAAATCCACTGTATGCCCCATCACATTTATTAAAATTTTAGTGTAGACTAATCTGAAATGCATCCCTCTGTACCTTGCTGAGGAGAAGTGGCTGAAAGGATTAGTGGGGCTTTCAGTGAACTCCTCCGCATGACCATATGGCCCGTTAAACCAAATAAAACTCACCTACTGTAAGAACATAAGCTCATTTGTGTAATAGGGGCTGGCCTAAGGTGGCTTTTTATAGCCTGCTAAACAATCGTTTAGTCGCTAGGTCCTTCCTTGAAGCAAAACAAAGGAAAATAGCTCAATAAAATAAAACAGTGATAGTGATTCATATTCATTGGGCACACACAACACCCCTTAAAGTTGTTATCTACAACTGAGGTCACAGCTTAAACCTTACTTAAAATGTTCTTTTTGAAATTCTTAAAAGTAAAACTCAAAAAGATAAATGTCTTAGAGATAAGTTTAAATTGTACAAGCTTCTTCTGCCCGGTATATTTTACAGGCAATATAAATATTTTTTGCAGAATAGGAAACAGATGAGACTTTTTATTTTTTAGTTTATTTTGACTTATTTACATTTCTTTTAGTTTAAACAGCATTGCATTAAACATGTTTCCATTTGTGGCTTGTGTGCGGCTATATTAATTCTTCAAAGAGTCCCAGAGACTCAACAACTTGTGAATATTTCCTTCAAAGCAAAATATAAACAAAAATGTGCATTAACCAAATAATGAATAATAAGGCGACACTTTATCTCAAACAGCAGTACTGTGAGATCTGTGTAGGCAGCATGCCAACAAAGTCAAGCATTTAAACCAGAATATAAGAATTTTTTAGACAGCCCCAAAAATATATAAAAATTAAGTGAGCATTTAAGAATTTTAAGAAAAAAAATAATATTTTAAGCTTTCAGCTGTTATCAATCTTGTACATAGTATTTCACTTGGTTCATGTATGTCTGAATAATCCTAAGATCTTAGACTTTACTCAGCCTTCCTAGAGAATCTAATCAACATTAGTGGAGTGAGACAGCCTTGTCCCAGTGTGGGCAGCACCCGCACTTGGAGAGGTAGCGTCACAGTGAAAGTATCTTTCCTCCAAATTGGAAGAAAACTGATATCTTGAATATTACAGTGCAGAATTAATTGATTTATGTGTAATCTGAAAGTAATTCCTGATTATCATGTACTGTAAAAATAAAAAAAAAATGATTTGCAACCAAAAACAACATCTCAGCCTGTCAACAGTTGTAGAATCCTCTCCCTATAAATATTTAATTCTCTGTAAGAAAATCCCGATCATTCTTTGAGATCCTCGTTGAACGGACTTAAAATTTTGTTTTTACAATCGAATGTGTCTGACCAATGTTATTTTTTTATATACACAAAACTACAACAAAAATCTGATTAGATCTGGAAATGAAATGTGATTTGCTGTAAGGAGAGCAGAGACGGAGGACACTCCGAGTTTACTGAACAAGACCTGCTACCGACCAGGTTTGCTCTGAGGAGAATGTTACTATGGTGACTGAAACAGAGGTTGAGTAAACTGGCTGTTTCTCAATGTGTGTACGTTTTCATGTCCTCATGAAACTTGATCAGCCTCAGCCCTAGTACTGTTCTAATTCACAAGAACAAGAAGGCTGAGAACAGACAAAGTCCTCGTACGTTGTTCTCACCCCTCCCTCTTTACACAGCATGCATCACAGAGTTGTCAGTTCTTGAGATTGACAGCTGTCCCAGCATGCACTGCCGCAGCAGCAGCTTCCAGTGGAGCGCTCACAGAGCTCAGAGTATTACTGTAAGTTAAAAATTCTGTTGCCGTTCAATAAAAGTACATTTTAAGATAATTTTAGGCAACATTACACTTTTAATCAGAAATACTTTAAGTATCACTATATGGCCCATTTACTGATTTAATGCGTAATTTTTTTTTTTAGTTGAGGACTGTGGCAACCAGCGTACTTCCGAGAGTAACTGCAGCCAGGTCTAATTTTAGCCCGTTCCAGCAGCCCTCTCTCGGCATAGCCATGTGAAGGACCGCTGGCTCTGATGGACTTTTTTGTGAAAATGTTTGATTTGCGTTTATCTGACTGGGTTCATTATTGTTCCCCCAATAAATGAATTTATCTAGAGACTATTAACAGGAGGTAAAAATGCAGCTCCAGACGCTTCTGTTGCAGTGACCCATATTTATGCTAAATGCTCCCCGGGTCCATACTTTCATGTGTTCTTCTCAAGAACATACTTTGCGAGGACACAAGTCCGTACTCACATTCTTATGAATTGAGAAATGGCCACTCGTGAAACGGAGCCCTAGACAGGCAAGTCAGTCGAAGGGCAACACAGAGAAACAAAGACATTTGACCATGCACTCACACACACGCATTTAAGGACAGTTTAAAGATCCCAAAACTGGATACAAAGGGCAGTCTCCAAAAGATTGTTAGAAATATTGTTTTCTACAGGAACAACATACTCTAAGCAGCCCACTTGTTTCTCCAGGTTTCTCAGCATTAAGTTTGTTTCTCATGAGGTAGGTGCTGTTGTAAATGAAGTCATATGGAAGACAGAATTAAAGACAAGTTTTAAACTTTTCCATTTTATTAAGAGCTTTCCACATATATAATCTAAAGAAAAAGTTGCTGAACAGTACAGTGAAAAGACCCCCAGAAAGACAGGAAAAATTAGATGACATCTTTGGTTCCAGCTGTAGTAGGGAGGAAAGATAGAAATTCGGTCAGGCCTACTAGCAGTACGCCAATCCTCAATTCCTCAGCAAGTGGCATCCACAAAATGTCCTCATGTTCCCAAAGAAAGTTCTGACCAGTGGCTTCCAGAAATTAATAGCCACTTTGAGTGACATCCTGTTGCTGTGTTTCAGGTTCAGGAGTGGGACTCAAGTAATCATCTTTAAAGTACCGACCATTGAAGAGGCATTTTCCTCTGTGATTGCCTCCATTTGACTGCATCAGAGATGACTGGTACACAAGAGGCTTTTCAGTCAGTCCAGATGGCACTTTACTAGGTCTCCAGGGCTGAGCACGTGGCATTTCACGGAGTTTCACCATGATGTTCCCAATAAGAACCATTTCAGGTTCCAACACTGAAGGCTGCCATAGAAAGTATCCATAGGCAGGTGGAAAGCTCACCCCATGTGGAGGAGCTACATGTACATTACGTTCATATGCTTGGCCAGAGGGTTCACCTGTGCCATAAGCATAACTGTACAGAGGAGAGCCAAAAGTTCCATGTGTGTAGCCATAGGGAGGAACTGCTGCATGGACACCATTGTAGCTGTAATAAGGAAACCTCATGGAGCCCTCTCCATATGTGTACAGATGAGAGTCAGAACCAGTATAAACAGGCTCATGCACTAAAGGAGGTCCAAACCAGGGACTGGGTGAACGATAAAAGTCTTCAGGACCGGAAACCACTTGCAGCTGTGACGAGAAGCCATGTGACATCTCCACTGGCTGCGAGGTAGGGCCAACATAGAAATCTCTTGGTAACAGAATACCTGGGCCACTGGTAGAGTTGGAATCAGAAGACTTTTCAGGAGCTTTAATGCTGGAGGCAGACTCATTTCCAGCAGAAGAGGTTGTAAACAAAGTGTCTGGATTTGCAGATGGTTCAGAACTCAAAGTTGTGTCATTGCCATGGTCTGGGAAGAAAAAAAAAAAAAGAAACAGGTCACAAGAAATCTCAAGGTGTAAACATGCAGATATAAGCATTGTGATGATATATCCTCAACTGGCCAACATCTGAAATTACTTAAGTCTAGACAAACCTTTGCAACCTTCGCTGTTGCCATCATTGTGGCAACAGCGAAGATTCAATCAGACTGAATTCTTTGGGCCAGATTAGTGTTACCTTCATACAATTAGTAAATATACTGTTGAATAGGAAAAAAATAAAAACACAACTTCAAGAAAAGCTGACAGGAAATCAAACCAGAAGCACTAATCTTTGCATCTCCAGTCACCAAACTAAATAGGATATATGACTAAATAAGTAATAAAGATAAAATGTAATGTTTCAAAAAATAATTTACCTGTAGGAAAACAATTCCCTGGGCCAAAAAGCAGGCAGATCAACCACACCCTGTAAAACAGATGACAGTTAGAAGCAACATTGAGAGTCGATTATTTTAAAGATTCAGTCATTATGCCAAAAAGCCTCAGTAACAAACCTTAAGCAGACACCCAGAAGCATGTTTGCTACAGCAATTCAGCCACAGTGACTGACATTCAGAGAGAGGAGATCGGTCTTAAGCAGAAGCTCTGCCACTCATTGTACTTATTGGAGACACCTGCAGCTCACTGAGCATTTTCTTCTTCTGTGATTTTTTTTATTGGTTTTTGGCAAACAACTTTAAAGTTGCAATACCACCCATTACTGGAAAGGAGTGTGAACTGAATCTCAAAAAATAACAATAATATAATGAAGTTTAAATCTGGCCTTATAGCATTTACTCTTAGAATCTTTCTGTAACGACTCAATGAGATCTAGTTTTTCTTTTATGTTGTTAAGAATTGAATCAACTCTTTCCTGTCACCGTCATAGAACACAGTATGAATACATGCTCTATGCTGGTGAAGATTCTCAGTAATCCAGGTCATAGTCATTCCAAAAAAAACGTTAAAAAAAACAATCTACTGGACTTTGTTTCCAAGTTTGAAGACGTTTCGCTCCCCATCCAGGAAGCTTTTTTAAATTCAAAATGTCAGGACTAGCATTGAGTTCGAGGTTCTATACAGTAGCATATCAAAACTTTGATTTTTAAATATTTTTCATTACTTTACTACAGTCCTTGGTCCACCAGGAAACACTCTCCCTCTCCCTTTTTCCTCCTTTCTTTTTTTCTTTTCAGCTGCTTCCAAAATTGCATGACATCCATCCATCCATCTTCTCCGGCTTATTCCATCAGGGTGCCTAGCTCCACTAGTCTACCACCACCACAAATAGCATAGATTGCCCACAGAGACATACGACCATGCAAGCATACACTCACAAATAAGGACAATTTAGAGATGTAAATTAACCTGACAGTCATGTTTCTGGACTGTGGGAGGAAGCCGGAGTACCCGGAGAGAACCCACGCATGCACGGGACTCTGGGTCAGGAATCAAACCCTGAACAGTGTCACCCACTGTTCCACCATGCAGTCCCGCATAACGTACATTTAAACTTAAATCATCCAAGTTGCTATTTATCTATACTTCACCCAGTTTTTTTGTCACTAACCATTTAAAGTTTTCCAATCTGCTGACCGAACACAATTTCTGGATTATATTTTCATTAATTATTCTTATTCTTAACTTGATTTTGGTAAATATAGGGAAATGGCCACTTGCTATAGTTATATATTTGATCACTTGCCAAGAACATACACCTGCTATTGAATCAGAAACTAATATTAGATCAATTGCTGACCATGTATTCTCCCTAATGTTGATTTCAGTACAACAAACATCATTTAAACGAACCACCTTTTTAATTTCCACCACTTCTTCTATTATTTTTACAATTTAATCACTGTGATTTCTCTGCCCATTAAAGTCTCCACAAAAAATTACCTTCCCCTTAACAAACTTCAGCTGTTCATCTAAAAAAATATATGGAATGTTTTTTGCTTGTTAAAACGTTTTAACTTGACCATTAACAACTAAACTTCTAGCATTCCATTGTAAAATGAACAGTCTGTTCCCTTTTGCTGTCCTCCAATTCTCATCAGCTGCTAGAATTTCATTTATTTAATCCCAAGACAAAAAAAAATCTGCTTCTTTCACAATTATCTTTTTTTTTCCTGTTTTTCTGTGTTTCACTTGTTCTTTATAGTTTATGAAGTATGCCATAAATAATACCACCTTCTCAACCATAAATATTGAATCAGTTTCTGTCCTTCTTTGGTCTTGTATTTTGATCTGCTGAACTTTTCTTGTGCGTTTTTCTTTTGAACTCATTTGCAGCTTCTGCAAAAGTATTATTTACCTCTTTAACTTGTTTGATTTCTACCTTCCGTTTCCTGACCTCACATCCCTGATATCTCACAATATGCTGCCATCCACTGTTACAAGTATCCTGTCCATTTTTACATTCTTCAAATCTATGTTCCTCTCGATATTTTGGACACCTAACGAGCTGCAGCAGCTTGCCCATACCTTTGACAGGCATAGCACCTTAAAGGAGGATGGCTGTCAGGCCCAACAGGAAAATACATTGGGCCGGATTTATCAAGATCCAATTTTGCGTGCAGTAATTTGCGCTCGCAAACTGGAATTTTGCGCGAGGGGCTGAACCATGGTTTGCGGGTGATTTAACAAGAGTGATTGCGTAACTGGTGGCAGGTGCAAAACTGTTGGAGACGCCCTATTTAAATGATGGTTTTGCGCGTTTTGTGGTTTGCGGCAAAGTAGTTTGTAGTTTGTACAAACTAGTGCATTAAGAAATTAAAATCTTACAGTGACCCCCAACATATATATATATATATATATATATATATATATATATATATATATATATATATATATATATATATATATATATATATATATATATATATATATATATATATATATATATATATATATATATATATATATATATATATATAAAGAAAAAACTTTGGCAACCTTTATTCCCTAAGGTGGTATGTGGCTGAATTTCTACTTCACTGCAGTAAAAAAACAAACAAAAAAAAAACAGGTGTTTTGTATTGGCCTGTAGAAAAATGCACACACCAAATGGCTCACAAGACGTGACTGTGGATGAGATTACTGCGCTACGCATCCTCGCAGCATTGGCATGTTGCTCCACAGGCGCAGGGGGAGAACCCCGACCCCGTCGGACAGCACTTCGGACAGCACTTCTGAAAAAACGAGATAGGGAGATCCCAGCTCTCGCTGCAACCGTACGCTGGAATGACCCAGATGCAAAAAAGTGCAATGTTGCAAGGAGTTTTGTGATATCTGTTATTGCGTGGGTCCTCCTTGTGGCTGGAACCAAATCCATTTGGAGTTCCCCCAACAGCTCCAAAATGGCAATGCTGGATAAACGATATGTTTTGATGATCGTTTCCTCGTTCATTGCAAAAATATTCACACGGAGTGAAAAAATGCGTTCTCTGGGTCTCCTTGCTTCATTTTAATGTCTCCTTCTTGCGACAATAACCGCTGCCATGTGTGCGCAATTACGCATACAGACCATTTGCACCTTCTTTTGAAACGTGTTAAATATAGAGTCAGATACCGTTAGCAAAATTGCTTTCAGGTTTAATAAATCACTTTGCGAGTGCTAAATTAATATATTTACATGTTCTCCTCCCACAAGACGCACTTTTGCTTGTAAACGCCCCATATTGCATATTCATTGCAGAAAAAGTACTAAATGGATAAGAGGCGCTATTTAGCACGTTTTAAAGACCAAATCCTTTTAGCACGCTGTTGATAGATCAATTTGTACATTTTTAGCGTGCGCAGTGAAATAGCTCACGTTTTTATACACGCAAACCTTTGATAGATCCGGCCCATACATTCTACAAAACTGAAAGACTTTCCACTTTCTTTATTTCAACTGTTTCTTAAATCTAAATGAGACTAAAGGACATTTCATCTCATTCTTTCCTTAATTTTAAAATAAGTTTAAACTCCTCTCTAAGAACTTTTGTGACATTTGAATTACCTTCATCTAAACTGCATGATTCCAGGCTTCGTGTTCTACTTTGTGATCCCATCTGACTTTCTCCCTTTCCAATTTTCTCTCTTCCTGATCCATTTTCTCTTTTCTTGATCCTCTCCAAGCCAACAACCTGTTCTAACTGCCAAATTCCATCTCATCATCCCTATCTTCCTCTAACTGAGACTCCATTACGGCTCAGTCACGCTGCAGTTTGTGCCAACCACCAACCAATTTACCAGTCAAACGTTTCTACCAGCTCTAGGGTTGCCAACTCCCTGAAAAAAAAGGGACACCTCATGTGCGTGCCAGCTGACCCAATTGCCTTTACCTCTCCTGGCATGGTGATTTTTTTAGCCCCCCTTTGTGTGTGAAATTATTTTTTAAACTATTTGACTCAAATCTGCATTAAATTAGCTGCATACTTGTGAGTGACATGAACACATGCCGTATAAAATAAGCATTTTAAACTTAATCCTGTACTGCTTAAGTTGATACGGTAAAAATTAATATAAAACAATAAATAAATAGTGCACATTTTTGGTGTAACAACAAACTTGTGCAAACTTGTAAAGATTTTTGTGCCTTAAATGCAATGACTGTAGGCTACAGTTGTAAAACAGAAAAAAAAATCATAAGCTCCATTCCACATTATGTAGTGATAGCATATTTTTTCCACGTATTTCCCTTTGAGCTCTTGCATCAGTGAGGAGTTGATTGTTTTTGAGTGCTGCTGCTCTTTTGTCAGCCGCTATCTTCTCCGTTAGCAACACTTGGCTCGACCAATCGGATGAGGGCATTCTGAATCGTTACATATATGTTGTCAGCTCATTGGTCACAAAGCAGGACAGGGCCTGGGAAAACGTTTATCATAAGTTTTGTATCTCATTCTTAATTTTCCATTAGCTTTTTACTAACTACATTTTTACTCTCACAGTAATACGAGATAAAGTGCGTTCCTTTTCCAATAAATACGGGACTGGTACTTCTATTTCTAAATACGGAACAATTACGTTTTTCAAGGGATAGTTGGCAACCCTAACCAGCTCCCAACTACTCTAAGACCTCCGCCCTGCTGCGTCACTTCCAGGCTCAAAGCGTTCCCTCTGAGCATCTGCTGAGACACACCTTATTAAAATAAGTCAATGAAATTCATAAATATTAAAACAATTTATAGTGATTTAAATTGCTTGTTTTATATACTACTGAATAAATACAACATTTTCTACGAGACTTTACATAATCTATAGAGTTGGTAGAAAGTATGTGAGTCTATTTGTTTTTATTGCTTCAATTACTATTTGTAGTTCTGGCTCAAATATTGCTCTAATGGCACATGTTCCTAATCTTGAAGCTTGTTAATAAATATTGTCAATTTTCTAAATGATGAAATCGACACCACTACTATGCTGTTCACCGTTGCCTTATCAATATGGCGGACAGGTTGACGTGTAGACGTGCTGAAACGCGGTGCTACGTCAGAAAAAAAAGCGGGGGGAAATTCCTGCAGCATCTCACGCGCTCAAGCGGAAGGCTCGCGAGGAATCCTCCAGCTCTGCATTTTAACATCTCCTCGGGTTAGTGTTCGGATTTTTCTTCCTACTTTTAATTGAACTAATTATCGAAGTTAAAATTTTGTTTTCAAAGATAACTTCGATTTTTATCGATGTGCTTTCGTTAGTTTATAACCGATATGGAAAGATTATTTGATGACAAACCGAAAAATAGTAAAAGTTGGTGATATTTTTAGCTAGCTCGCAGCTATTGAAAGGGAAACATTTTGAACTTGTAGAATTGATGAAATATGTCGTTAATCCTGGAGTTAGAAAATGTATTTAAGATAAAACTAACAAAAGGGACACACTCCTCAAATAAAACGAGTAAAGTGGTAATTAGTGGGAAAAATAGGCAATAAGAGCTGCTAGTCATTAAATGTAACCAGACTTCAGGTTAAATCCACAGATATCTGTTAGCCTGAGGATTTAGCCTTTTTAGCTCCGAGCTAAAATTAATATTTTTGGATCTGCTTTTAAAAACTGGCGATTTCACAGAACATAATGTAAATGTAATAAACTATATTGTGTTAAACAATAGTTCCCCAAACTAATTAAAGCCCTGGACATTATTATTAATTATCTAAATATGGTTAGACGCTTGTGCTTTGATCATAAAAAGTTTATTTTCTGTTTTATTTAAAACTACATCTTATTTACCTGAGCTCTGATTTTCCTAAAGATCTGTAAAAATAATAATAATAATAAACTGGTCAAATCAATTGTGGTCAATTTCTAATCTTTTACTTTGTTTAACCTGCTGCTACTGGTTTTATCCGGTTCTGGTGATTTAAAAAAAAAGTCTTGTCATTGTAGAGAATAAAATTAGATGTCTTTGGAGGGTTAAAGGAAACAAAATTAAATTAATGAATATATCGTGAAATCAATAAATGTCTTATTAATTGTTCCATTAGATAATTTAATGTATTATTTCTCTAATACATCATTGAATAATACATAAAAAAGATAAATGCTAAAGCTTTAAATTTGCCATTAAACAATTAAATGCACAATTTAATCAATCATTGAATAAACCATTAAATCTATAAATTTCACTTAATTTCAAATGTTTCTTTAAAATTTATTTGATATCATTAAATCTAATTTTTGTTAAATAATTATTTTTGATTATTTTATTTTTTGTTTGTATTTTATATACTCTAATAATCCCAGAGGGAAATTATTTCTCTGCTTTTAACCCCTCCCCTTGGGGAGCAGTGGGCTGCCATTGTGAGGCGCCTGGGGAGCAGTGTGGGGTTAAGGGTCTTGCTCAGGGACCCAGAGTGGCAGTCTGTGGGAGTGGGGGATCAAACTCACAACCTCAGGATTCAAAGCCCTAAATTATCTAGCATTTCTCAGTGTGAAGCAGCCAATCAGATTCCAGGGTTTCTGTAGAAGCCACCCTTATCCTGCCAATAGGAGAGTTGACAGTTAAAATTATTTGATGATTAGTCTGATTTTGATGCAGGTTTGCCTGCTGTGTCTAAAAGTAGCAGCAGCAGCAACCCAGACTGACGGCTCATTTGGATCACGTGCAGCCTGGAGCCGGACGCCCCAGAGGGCTTTACCGTATTAACAGGAGAAACGGTGCGTGTGAAATTAGACACTGTCGGACAACATGCGGTAATTTATAGATGTTTTAATTCAGTCGGGACTAGCCAGCAGATGGGTCTGCTAATCCATGACCTCTGCTCTAGGCTATGATCCAACAAAGACGAATTTGAGCACATCTAATTTACCCTCAACAAGACGGATTATATGAATATTTTTGGCAAATAACTTTCTTGGGTTTCTTATAGGATAAAACAGCCCATTTGCTGTTTTATATTAGCTTCCCAATAATTTTTTAACACCTTTTTAAAAAAGCAGCAGGCTGAACAAACAGTTGATATGTATAAAAAATGATATTAAATCCAACCAAAAATCAATTACAAACTTTTCTCAATTTAGGCATCACAGCATATGTCCTCCATACTAATTAAAATCGGGTTTGTCTATAAGTTTATATGCTTATGAACTTTAAAGATGGGTAATATGCCTTTGTCATTTAAATCTTTACAGTGCTGAAATGTTTTCAGCAGAAACAAATGTTGATTGTTTGCTTAAGTAAATCTACAGAACGCTTCTGTATGTTAATTACATGAAACTAATAGATTTGATGGAATTAAACTAAATTCAATCAGACGTGGCCAGATTGTTGAGAAGGGTCGTTCCACAGATCACTTTCTAAGCTCTTTCAGAATCAAAGTGAGCCTTTAAAGAATGAATGAACTTTGTTTTGATCGTTGTTTAACATTTCTCCCGCCTTCAGACGGCAGTGGCGTCACCATGATAAAAACTCCTCCCTCTGCATCGCTGCGGGTCAGGCGCAAAAATGGTCGTCAGATCAGGAAGCATTTTGGCCTGAGCAGAGCCAACGGTCAGGACTCAGAGGGAACGCTGTGGAAGATGCAGTCTGGTCAACGTGACGCTCATTTCACCAAAATGCCTGCAACTGTCATCCAATGGCAGGAAATCACTGCATACCTGCGTCTTTTGGGTGAATGAACACCCTGAACACAGTCCAGTGGTTTAGCATGTAAGTTGGCTTTTATCGTGAAAGGCTCCCGTTATGGTTTTGTTTCAGATGATGATCTCATCCAGCAGTTCCTCAGGATGGACTGTTGCTACCAAATGACTGACAAGGTAAAGAAAGACTTTTTATAACCTGTTAGCCAACCTATTTTCGACCAATTTCTTAATGTTTTTCCCCTTTTTCTCACCAGTATCTTTTAGCCATGACCTTTGTGTACTTCAAACGGGCCAATTTCTCTATTTCTGAATACACCAGGAAGAATTTTTTCATGGCACTGTAAGTCAACAGGAATTAGTGGAAACTTTCAGTTTTTTTGTTTTTTTTAAAAACGACATTCCTGTCTTGAGCATTTGCTCTGTGTCTGTAGCTACCTCGCCAACACCATGGAGGAGGATGAAGAGGAAAGCAAGTATGAAATTTTCCCTTGGGCTCTGGGCAAGAACTGGAGGAGGCAGTTTCCACGTTTCCTTAAGCAGCGCGACGAGCTGTGGGCTCGTATCTGTTACAGAGCTGCTGTCAGTAGGAGCTGCTGTGAGGAGGTGGGACATTTATCTTTGAAATGAGGCAGATACATTTAGGACCATTTAGACATTTGTTCACTCAATTCTCAAGAGCCTTTATGCTTACAATTATGCTATTAATTAAACTCATTGGGATTAAAGGATATTAAAATATTAACACAAGATTTTTACAAAGGTTGCGGTTTTGTTTAACAGAATTCGGGACATTGCTGCAGCCTGTCGATGCTAAAGATGACGAAGGATTTAGCTGTGTTTTTCTTAATTCCTAAGGGCATTAAAATTATGGAGGACCAACTCTGCCATATTTAAAAATAAATACAGAAATAAATAAATGCTCAATAAATAAATAAGCATACAATTAATTGCCGCCAAAAATACAATAAACAAATAAATATAAGTAGTAATTAAATGATACAGCTAGACATGTAAGGCATGTAAGGGCAGACAGAAATAAATAGCGGCGAAGAAATAACTAGGGTAAAAAAAATACAAAGGAAGAATAAAACGGACAAAAATATTATAACATGCACATAAATAAATACTTAAAAATATAAGTAATTAAAAAATAAAGTTGAAGATTATAAAGGACAAAAAAATAAGGTAAATATTACAAAGGCAAATAAATAAAGAAGCTAATTCAAAGAGTTATATACATTTATGTCTCACTGTATAATTTAATTTCTACTTACATTTATTTGTTTATTGTATTTTTGGTGGCAATTAATTGCATGCTTATTTATTTATTGAGCATTTATTTATTTCTGTATTTATTTTCAAATATGGCAGAGTTGATCCTCCATATAAAATAGCATTAAAAAGCATTAAATTAGAGTTTCTCATTCCTCTATAAACCCTGTTATATTTAGATTGATTGAACTATCCAAATGTGTTGGATGATCACACTGGCTGTTTTATGTTTTCCAGAATGATCTCCATTAATATTTTGTTAAAATGTCTTTTAGCAGATTGCAGAAAAAGGCCCAACTTTTTCTTGTCATTTAAAAGTTAATTAAATAGCACCAACTAGATATTAACCTCTCTTTCTGGAAAATGATGTAGTTAATTTAAATCTGTTGGTTTATTGTCTGTTCTGTTCAGTTTATTTATAGATCACCAATTCACAACAAATTTAATCTCAAAGCACTTTACAGAGACGTTCAACCAGATCATCCTTTAAATCAGTCAGATTGATTTAAAGTTTTATATTCAAAGAAAACCAGCTGATTGCATCGACTCATTGACTCTCCAGCAATCCCTCACACTAAGCATGCTTGTAGCGACAGTGGAGAGGAAAAACTCCCTTTGAACAGGAAGAAACCTCCAGCAGAACCAGGCTCAGTGTGAGCGGCCATCTGCTGAGGCCCACTGGGGGCAGACTGTTCAGACTGTCCCTAAATAATGATGCTCTCCTACTTTTAAAACTTGAAAACCAGTTTTGAGGGTTTATTGTCCTGTTGGAAAACCCAACCGGGTCAAATTTAATTTGTTTAAATTGGGAAAGACAACAATACGAGATATATTTTTTGTTTCTTTAATAATAAAACATTTCTTTAATCAAGTTAATCATTTAAATAAATCAGGCATGAATTAGAGAGTCGTTAATCCGAGGAGACTTAGTGCTGCTATTCCTGATGTTGAAAGCTGTTTTCCAGGTGGGTGTGGCATCTTTGCGGTGCCGTCTGTTAGTGCTGGTAGGAAAGTTTCCTAGGTAATAAACTTTAAAAGGTTTATAAAGGTAGAAATAAGTGTGTTGTGAAAATATTTTATTCTTTTATTAAAGGACACTGTATAGATCTGTCTTTATATTGAAAAGTTTATCCTTATTAATATGATTTAGGTCAAAGTTCTTTAGAAAATTAAATCATTTAACATGGACATAATGATAATTTATAATAATTGAACTTTATTGATCTCTAGATGGAGAAATGTACCTCCTCTTTTAACCCCTCCCCTTGGGGAGCAGTGGGATGCCATTGTGCGGCGCCCTGGGAGCAGTGTGGGGTTTAGGGTCTTGCTCAGGGACCCAGAGTGGCAGTCTGTGGGGTGGGGCTCGAACTCACAACCTTCCAAGCTCTATGAAATGCACATCTACATCATTTAATGTTAATACTGATCAGTGGATGAAAGCTTTTGATTGTAGTGCATTTTCTTGTAACCTTTTTTTGACTTTATACCCGAGTCTGATATTTGTGTTGTTGACAGGTGATGGCCATCGTGCCTTCCCACATTGTGTGGCAGCGGCAGCGCTCCGTTCACCACAGCGGCGCCCTGAGGCAGTATACCGCACAAGGTGCCGTCCGTCTTCCACGCGGCCCCTCTGCCTCCCCGCTTTCCTGCGCCCTCTGTATCTCTGGCAGCAGGTTACATCACATCTCCTCCAGCCGCCCGGCTGCACAGACCACGAGCAACAGCAGCCTGAACCCGTTCGCTCCTGCCTTTACGTTTGAGCTGACGCCACCCAGAGCCGCTAAAGCAGAGGAGAAGAAAACTGGGGCTCAAGAATCGTGCAGCTTCTACGCTGAAGAGCTTCCAAGTAAGTCTGACTATAGACCCAGTAAACTGCCTGAAAACTCAGCTGTAAAGCTGCGCAAGAATATCTTAAATATCAAACGTTTTTTTGTTCTTCTTTACATATAACAGTAAATAAATCCACACTTGTATTGTTGTGCATACGTTTATACCCAGTGTTGTTACCCTTCCAATGCTGTGACCAAAATATGGCAGTAAAGCTAATACAGACCATCAGTAGTATGCGCCACTAACCCAAAATGTTATTTTAATGTTAGATAGACTGCTTTTAAACAGTTAAGCAGATAGAAGACAAGAAATAGTGGAAACTAATACCAACCGCTAAAGCTCTGAACACAACAAATCCGATTTTGCATCTCATCCAAGAGAAATCATGTCATCCGAGGTCGTGGCGTTTATCGCTCATTGAAAATCAATGGGGGTGATCTCAGCCGACGCCATTTTCTGCAGGGGACTTGCGTAGCTCCGGCTGAGAGAGACCTCAGGTCTATTTTAGTCTGACTACGCAGCAATTTAGCGGCAATTTCATGGGTCTGGCAGGAAGAGAGACGCAGTTACAAAGTAAAACCTGTCTGCTCTGAGGGACAACACTAAATAAAATCGGTCAATCGCAAGAGGAAAAAAAGGGTTTGGAGTCGCCAAGCTCATATAAAGCAGACTGCGGCCAAAAAAAATTGATAAATGTTTAAAAAACAAAACTTTACCTATGATAGGAGATTAGATGGACAGAAAACGAATAAATTTGTGATCCTCTTTGAGCCTCGCAAAAACGAGGGACAATAGAAAGCGCAGCTTCTCACTCTCCACGGGAGAAAAAAAGAAAAACCGACAAACTTCACAAGGACAGAAAATATATATAGTAAAATAGGTTTATATCCAAATAAACCATCCAACAGCCCTTTATCGCTGCGCTTTCCTTTTCTTCAACTGTAGTTCCCATTATGTTTCTAATTTATGCCTGTTACAATCCTCTCTGTTCTGATTTGATCAGTCTGGTCATGAAGTGGGGCTTTGCTTTGTAGCCCGGTGTTTAAACATACTTAGGGCTGGGTACCGAACTTCGGTACTTTTATGGTACCGACCGAAATGCTTCGGTTCTACAGAGTATCGAAACATGCCTCGTCTTTCGGTACCAAGTTTCGGTGATTGGCTGGAACACTTAAGGTGATTGCGTCATCCAGGAAAAATACACAGGTGGTCACGCCTACAGCCAGGGTTCATGTGTATCTTTTGTGAACTGGTTGCAGCGTCGCGGAACCCCTTTAAAATGCCCCCCAGGTCAAAAGTGCGGCTTCACTTTATTAAGACTGATGCTAATAGTGCGCAATGCAATACATCGTGCACGGAAATAATTTAAGAGCAGAAAGTCGCTCTGTGTTTGACTGCAAGAAGAGCGGACCGCAGCCAGCGCGACCATCCTCCTCTCAGCAGCCCGTGGGCAGAGCAAAGCCAGAGCGGAGTGAATCATGCTGCTTTCAAACTGGACGCAGCAAGAGCAGCAAAATCTCGTCTGCTGCTTCATTTTTGCTGCTTGTACCAGCTTCTGACGCGCTGCTGAAAAAGCTTTGCTGCTCTGGCTGCGCGGTCGCAAAGTGGGTCAGACGCGCGTTGGGCGGAGCTACTCTATCCTTTATTTGCCTTGCAGCTATATTTGCTGTGATCAGTGGGAATAAAGTAGTTTTATTATGTTTTTAAGTGGGAAAATCCACCTGAAAACGTAATCAGTGCAGTCAGTTCATCCTGCCTTCAATATTTCTGTCGGAGCCGCTCAGACCCCCCCCATACCAGCGGTGCGCTGTCAGTAGGATCCCATTCAACGGGCTTGTTTGTCAGACATGGTAATTTTTCTAAAGGAAAACTGCTAAGTAAAAAGGTCCTCACAATGTAACAGTGAATATTAGACACTGAATTATTTATTTTTTTATGTAAGAGGAAAAATGTAAATGGAAAAACAGAGCTTAAAATAAAACTCAAGATTTGTACTTTTTTATGTTGTGTAATTTTCTTTTTTTTCGAATTGATATTATAAAACTGGTATCGAAAAATGTATCGTTCAGGAACCGGTATCGAAGTGAAGGTATCGGTATTGGTACCGGAACCGAAATTTTTTTAACAATACCCAGCCCTAAACATACTGGGATCTGCTCACGCTGCAAAGTCTGAGAACTCTCTATACACTGCCAGTGTGACGGGGAACTAAGTCGGATTGGTAGTTAAAAAGTTGTAGCCAACCGGTGTGACCCGGCCTGAGGACGTCTGCTACACAAGGTTACTGAATCTGACAGTTTTCAGTTATCGGCCCAAACAACGCAAAACCTGCCCACCTCCAGAAAAACAGTCACACCTCTTTAACTGACTGTTTACAGGGAGGTTATGACTAGTTTTTTTCACTTCTTTCTCTGTGCTATACACAAATTATTAACAATTTCCCACATTTGACTTGAACAGATTATGAAAAGTTATAAAAAAAAAAAAAAAAAAAGGCCGGCACAGCTATAAAGCAAAGCCTCACTCGACGAGTCTGTGCAGCATCTCAAACCAGAACAGATGGAAGATGTTCATATGCCGACATTAAAAACAATGAGATCTACGTCTAAAGAAAAGAAAAAACAGCAATAAACACGACTGGGCGGTTTATATGCTGACTGAGGCAGAGAGGATTCTCAGAGAGATCTGAGAAAGTTTATCAATGATTTCTTTTTGTTTTTCATAAAGAGCTGAGAGATACGCTGCTCTGTCTGACCCTCATTTTGTTTTTTTTTGTGAGGCTCAAAAAGGATCACTATTTTACTTTATCAGTTTTTTCTCCTGATTTTTTTTTTTTTGTTAGGTGATAAACTGCGTTTTCTGGCCCATTTGTTTTAGCAAAGCTCAAAGAGAATGACTATCCGTTTACTGTCCTTAATTTCTATCATTGTTCATTATCATTTTTTTATGTTTTGTTCATTGTTTTTATGACGAGTCTGTCCTGCTTACTACATACCAGATGTAGGACTCCAAAACGGTCTCTGTCCCTGTGCGATTTACAGATTTTATTTTGTATTGCTGCGTAGTCCGACTGAGACTGACCCCTAAAATAGACCTGGGTTCCATCTCAGCCGGAGCTACGCAGGCCCCCCCCGTATGTAAAATTGTGTGCGATCATCCCCATTGACATTAAATGAGGGCTAAACACCATGGCCTCGTCCGCCGCGATTTTCTGTCACATCAGATGAAAAATGTTTGTTTTGTGTTCTCTCTCCCCCCCCGCGAGTGGAAAAGTGAAAGCTGAATTAGTGATAGGATCAGCAACACTAATGAGTCGGTGCATGCGTCACTGCAAAACGCTGCATCGGTGCTGGTGTCGTTTCAACAAAGTCATGTGACCGATACAGGAGATGTTTCTAACTGACAGATAAACTGAGCAGTGTTTAAAAACTTATCTGTCAACATGATGCATCTGCTAAAAAAATGATCTCATCTTTTGCGGTTTATCATTACATTTATAAAAAATTTGGGAGAAGCCTAAAAGGAATAAGGTTTCGTTTTAACTTTCTCGTGTCATTCTTTTCCTCTGTTATCACTTAACTTAACTTCAAATTGACTCTTAGTTTATTTGCTTTTTTTTACTGTACTTATTATTTAAAAACCTAGTTTACAAGCATCCTCATTCACATTTTCCCTTAAATGTTCACGTTATGATAGGCTACATGTTTACATTTTTTATTGGCTGCATCTAAAATTATTAAAGATATTTTCAATTTAATCATACATATGAAATAATACAATATAACCTACAATAACTCAAATTATATCATTGTTCTAGGTCATCAAAGCAATTCAGTTTAGTCTCACATAAACTGCCTGTAGTGTCTTTAAAGGTCCAGCAGGTGTCAGTATTCTGTGAGACAGTATGAATGTGTGGAAACCTCATGAACCATCACTAGGCTGAATTATTTCCAATTGATTGAGTCGATGTGGTAAAATAATTGACCTGAATTCAGTTTATGTTTAATATAAATAAACTTGTTCTTTTTTCTTATATTTCTGTACATAAGTTGTTTTTTTAAAATACCTGGATTAAGTTATTAAATAGTCCTCATCTATTTTCATCCTTTTCTCTTGGATAGGGGCGGCTTCATCCAGTGATCCCTTTATAGACTGGATCAGCGAGATGTAGATGAAATCCAAACCCTGCTGGTTCATCCTGTTCCTTTCTGGAGACGCTGCCGTTCTTTGCAGTAATCTTTATTCTTTATATCTCTGAATCTTCTGCTTATTGATGATCTAAAGGAAACGCACTGACTTCCACAGAAGTTAATATGAAATGAGTTGTTGGTGTTTATGAGCATATTCTGTAAAGATTGTTTCTATTTATTTACAGTATTTATTTAACTTATTAGTACATGAGATGTTTGTGCAATTTGTCCACCTTGAGGTGCATGAAGGTTTGACGGGGAAATCTTGTGGGGTTTTTCTCTGGTTGTGACTTTAGGATGAGCCAGTGCTGTCTGAGTTTGAGAATACAAATCTAAACTAACATTTGTCTCAATGCTGTTTTTGTTTGTGGTGATAAAGCGTTTTTTATTTGTATAATACTCTCAAACAGTTAGTGAGAATGATGGAATCCATCCATCATCTGCTCTTCCAGCTGTCAGTTATTTCATCCATTAAGTTTCCATCAATTTGTCCCACTATGCATCTAAAAATCTAATCTCTGCTCATCAATCTATTATGTTTTGTTGCCATCCTTTCATTTCTGTCCATGAATCATCTGTTTTATTGTTTAAATTCTAAATTGTTTGATGAAAAAGACAAGCACTGATTCTTATTTGCATCAGTTTTTTTACTTTTTATTTAACTCTTAAATAATCGTTAGTTTCCAGGGGTCTTCAGTGGCTCCAGCTATTTCAGAAACTTCCTCAGTTTAACCAGGAATGCTGAAAAAAAAAAATAAGGTATGATGAGTGACACCAAACATTAAATGGATGCTGATCTTTGACCTGGCTCTGACCTGTGTGGCTCATCTGTTCGGGATGAGGTCTGGCAATATATGGAACGCTGCCAAACGCTGGCCCCACGCCGTCCTCTGAATAACACATTAAAGGAGAGAGAGAAATGAAAGCAATAGCTTTTAAATTAATCGCTCTTTATTACTCACACTTACCTTCATCGGCTCCAACTGAAGCTTCTTCTTCGCTCCTCAGAGGTTCGCCCTGGTCTGGAGCTTTCCTGGCGCAGTATTGTCCATCTTTCTGCAGGGCGGGGGCCACCATCCAGTCCCGGACTGGAACCTCAACGATGCGTTCACACAGAAAAGGAAGCTCAGAACACCGGAGACCCTCCAGCAGATCAATGACCTGCGTTATGCTTTGAAAAAGAGAGAATTCAGCTCCTGTACGTGAACTGCTCCTAATAAAAAAGTGAATAAGTTGTAGAACCTCCTGCAGTGGAAACCACTCTTTGCTTCATTAAATTTAACAGACATATTTTGCTCAGCGATCTCAAATTCACCCTACAGCATTTCAAACATGTCGAAATGTTGGATTTTTACTAACTCTTAGGTTTGCTGCTGTGTTTGGCATCATCTTACTGATGACAGAGTCAGAATCAAACTTCAGCTGATTGACGGACTCACATTTCACTAGAGTACTTCGCACCTTGAATAACTGCAGATGCTGTGGCTGAAAAACAGGCGGTAAATCATCATTCTTCCACTACCGTGCTTCTGCCAATATTCTGCATTTGGTTTATTTCAAACATGTTGCTGTCTTGATGACCAAGTATCTCTACTTTGGTTTTATCTTTTAAGCCTTTAAGTTAGTGTAAAAGGTTAATAAGCCTAGTTAACAATTCTAATTAGGTTTATATACTGTATTAAAAAAATATAAGTGCCAGTATCAGACTTAATACCTACGGAAGATGATTAGGGCCACTGGAAAAAAAAAGTAGTGATTCTAAAATTTTATTTCAACTTAGTATTGGAAAAAAGTCAGAATTCTGACTTTTTTCTCAGAATTTTGGATCTTAATGTAGATGGGCACCATGAGCGCAGAGATGTGAAGCACTCAGCTTCACTGACAAAGATGAGAGTTGCTCATTAATGGAGGAGCAGAAGGTGATTAAAACAACAGAGCTAGTCTCTAAAACAGACATGGCTATGGCTTGATGCTAACATGTTTGTTATCTGTCAGAATTCTGAGAAAAAAGTCAGAATTCTGACTTTTTTCCCATACTAAACTGAAATAAAATTTAAAAATCAGTTTACTTTTTTTTTCAGTGGCCCTAATCCTCTTCTGTAAATACCTCTAAGGTTACATTGTATAAAAAAATGCAGTGTTTTTCATGAATTTCTTCTAGAAGCACTTTTGTTGTTTTTCTTAATATATTTGGGTAAGTTGGTGTTTCTTGTTATTACATTGAACTTATTTTTTTCCATCAAAATATTCGTATTTTTTGAATGTTACAAAGGTAATAAGCTCTTATCCTGGATTCCAATGAAACAATTGATTTTCAAAGTATTCCACCGAGTGCCCTATAGAGGCTTAAATATTTCTTTTGTTTGAGCATTACAGAGGTGAACCTGTAGGAATATCAGCAGCTGTCTTTAATGGTTTCCTCCTCTGAATGTTATCTCCACACTGTATGGTACATTTAGAGGGTTTAAAAAGGCCTCCCATCCCTTTCCAGATGTCTGTACCAGTTGCTGATGTTCGCCTTTATGTTGTTCAATACTATAGCAACTCTTCAAACAGAGGAAGTCAAGTTTACACTCTAATGCTTTTTCACTTCTTTGCTACTTTAACTATAAAATTCTACAAAAACAGAAATTATATTTGTACTTTTTTCTCAGGTTATATCTAAAGGAGTAACAAACAAATTTGTTTTTTCTGTCCAAAAATATTTGTTGCTTAAAATTATTTAAAGGAGCACATTTAAAGGTCCCATATTCTACATTTGAAAACATTAATGAGGCTCCCAGAGCGTGTTTTTGCTGTTTACGCAGTCCTCCATTAGACGAGCCGTTTTAGCTTTCCTTATTCTCTCGAATTCTGCGCCCTGCAAACGTAACCGCAAAAAACCAGTCTGATTTCATAAAGATAGCCTAGGAATGTGGAATAAAACATTGGATGAGTGATGGGCTGCTACAGACCACACTTGACAGCTTATTTCTCCTTATGACATCAAAAGGGGAATGATTTCCAAGACACCATTTTGAGCACACATTTGCTAAAAAGATGGAGGAAGACAATGATAGTGAGGCTTTTTTTTCCATTTGTGAACCTCAAAGGGTTTCTGTGGGTCATTAAAAATCATTATGTAATTTTTTTTAATTATTATTATTAAGGTCTTAATTGGTATTAAAGGTCATTAAGTGTGATTATTCTGACATGTAAAATGCTTTATTTAAAAATATAAAAAAATACGTTTATAGAAACAATTTTGTCAGATATATCGGGATATTTGGGCAGAACTGCTTCCGATTGATCGTAAAGCCGTATGTTTGAAAAAGAAGCTTGAGGCGGAGAAAAGGCTAGAGAATGAAAAAATGCTAATTTCAACCGAAGTGGCTGAAAAACTAGGAATTATTTTACATTCTGATAAAGACCAGTTTTCATCTTTTCCTTGACCTAAAAGGTGCATAATAAAAATAAAGCCCTTTGTACCTACTTGCCCTATGTTGATACTTCATTCTTGTCTTGACAGAGCAGTTTGTTTTGTTTTTTCAAAAATACAACAAATAGTATATTTAAAATATATTTTATATGTTTTAAAATCTGATGCTTATAAAACCACTACTCACTTTGCGAGGTAAGTGGCGCACACGGCTCCAGGATGCAGGTGTGGCAGCACGACGGGCAAAACCAGGTGGGGGTGGATCAGGTCCAGAGCAACCTGCAACAGAGACGAGGCCTGAGATGAACGAGCTGCTCTTTTCTTGACAAACCAACGTTCAAAAGCACCTGCAGCGCAGAGACTGACCGAGTGAAAACCTCGTCCAGCCAGGAGCGGCGAGGCTGTGCAGAGGTCTGCGTTCTGAAACTCTACGTTCTCTGGCCAATCCTGGCCTCGTCGCAGAGCCCAGGACGTCCTCCAGCGCTCAAAGTTTTTTAACGATCTTCTGTGATGATCCTCCCGGACCTCCACGCTCAGAACGCTACCTTTAGAACCAACTGGAGGAAAAACAGAACTTCAAAGTGTTGAATGATTCTCATTTTTAATCACAGAGTTGGGTCAGATTATAAATACTGAATAAATTCCCAGGAAGTTGCTTTTTATCTCCATCTATCACTTTATAAATGTGATACATGGAGTTTAAATTAGATGTGGCGCTAATGTTTTTACAAACGATGCTTAATTCTTGGGATTTCATTTATGCTCCTTGAACTGAACCCTTTCCTCCTAAACGTGCGCACATGGGTCAGAGATGGCTGAGGGAGGGACCGCACATTTCCCCGGAATATTAGTATTTATGAGATCACAAACTTTGCATTGAAAGTGGCATTTCCCAGCTTCAGGTCTCGGTTTGTGTGAATTTAAACGACATAAATGTGACTCCAGGCTTTCGCCAATAACAGATTTTGTGTTCATCGATTCTCCGAGCTGAAGCTGACAGCGTCCTTCCAGCTCATTAGGAAAGGATGATGGCCGTGCGTCAGAAGATCAACTGAAACCTGCTCAGTCAGATGTTTAAGGTGTGGGATCAGGGGTGGGCAGTAACTACCTACATTTACTTGAGTAACTTTAATCAAAATGTACTTTTAGGAGTAGTTTCACTGCACCAAACTCTTTACTTTTACTTAAGTAATATCATGAGGTTTCGTTACTCTTGAGTAAAATCTTTGGCTGCTCTACCTACTATGAGTAACTTTACCAAAGAAAAAAGAATTTACACTTTTAGTTTAATTTTCACTCAAATAAAAAAAAAATTCCATCTTTGTTGTTTTATAATTTTACTTTTAACTTCCCAGACTATGACATGGAGCTTAAGGTAATATACACTGAAAAGTACATTCTGTCCCTGGAGGTAGTTTACAGTCTTCTGTAATGCATACTTTACATACTTTAAGAAATTATGTCATATGTTATACATGAAGAAATATTTATTGTCCAATTTTTTCAGTATATTTACATGATTTTAATTCATTACTTTCCTTAAGGCTTTAAAACAAAATGAATCTGTGTGTCACTTTATATTATGGTCTGTTAAATTAACATTATTTTAGTGTTAATTTTTAATTGTTTTTTACTTTTACCTGAGTAATTTATTGGACAGCTACTTTTCACTTTTACTCATGTGAATATTTGTATAAGTAGTGCTAGTTTTACTTGAGTACATGTTGTTGCTACTCTACCCACCTCTGGTTGGGATTTTGTTTTATAACCTAACCCTGGTTTAAACTTCCTCACTATTTCCTCCCCCGTTACCTTTCCGCTTTGTTCCTTGGACCTTTGAGAGGCCGTTTGTTCTCTAAAACACCTTTAAAGTCTTCAGAGGACATCAGATTACGGAGTATATCCAACAAACACAGAGGTTGGTTTATTCTAATTATTTTCTGACTTGGTTCTGCATGCATTGCTTAATAAATATCCCCGTCACATCTCACAGATTTAGTTAGAAAAACAAAACAGAAACCTTTCATTCTACTTCACAATTATGCTTAACTCTTATTTTGGTAAAGCTTGATGTTGCAAACTGGAAATGAGGATAAAAAGGCTGTAAAATGTAAAGGTTATTAAACTTTGGTGGAGCGAGCCATGCAGACCTGCTCTGGACAGAAACAGGGACATTGCTCCAGACCCGGAGCCTGACTCCAGCACACAGTCTCCCTCCATAACGTCCATCATCAGCAGCATGTTGGCAGCATCCTAACAACACAAGGACACACAGATTTAAGATATTACACACAATTTAACTTTTCTGCTTTAAGCACCTTTACCTGCGGCATTTACCTTTGGATAGGAGATGGCAGGTCCTCTCTTCATATGCAGCACGTAGTCTTCGAGACTGGCACGCCGGAAAAAGATGGGGACGCCCCTGCTGGTTTTCAGGAATCGGCCTGCTGGCTGCCCTTCTAGATCATCGTGCATGATGACCCCCCAGCTGCTGTGCAGGCGGGCCCCTGGCTGAAGCTGGAACATCTTCCTGAACTCCACCCGTCTCTTCTTCCTGAACTCTGCGATAAGCAGCTCCCCGAACGAAAGCAAGCTCTCCCCTAAAAGACAGGGGTGCACCTGACCCTCCCCACGCTGAAAGCCTGTAGTGTTTGGCTCTTCTACTGCATCAGGGTCTCTCTGGGTCTGCAGACAGTCCTCTTCGGTGACTATCACAGGATCATGTCTCTCTTCTTGCTGCTCTTTCCCTCTCAGCTGCATCACCTCTGGGCTCAGTGCATCCTCAGGCAGCAGACTGCTGATCCTCTCCAGGGGGGATAGGGACCGCCTCCTCCTAAACAGGTGAGCCTGCCTTTGTGTCTGCATGGAGTCTGAACTCTGTCCATCATCCTGATTAGACCTTATTAAAGCGGTGGAAAACGTCCTGCTGCAAATACTTTCAAGGTTTCTCCCAAACACAGCTCTGTTCCAGAGGAGAGTCTGAATGGATTTGGAAGATGTCAGCAGTCTAAGCAAACAGCCACATCTGTGGGCTGCATGACCAGCCATCACTGTCAGCTTTATCACTGAAACTATTCAATTATCTCCTTTATAGTCAGACAGGAAAGAACACAACATAAAATAATCACATCACAAATACATTACAGATGTGGAAAATGGAAACTTACATGAAAAATTACAACCGGCGTCTGTTTACAAAAGAGAAGAGGTCACTGCTTCAAAGGCACGTGTCAGGAGCGTCATAAACAAGCGACTGCAGTCTTCAATGCTACCAGCAGATGGCGCAAAAAACGTGTTTTACGTTTCAATATGGTTACAGGTTTGATTGCTGATTGCCCGAAAACAGTGAAGCTACCGTCCGCCATATTGGTACTCCCAGCTCCCACGGAGACGCGCAGTAAAAATGCCTCCATGTGAAGCATTTGGCTGCAAACATAAGCAGTTTGGTGGCTGTAGGAAGATGATTCACGGTTAATTTCACTGTCAATGTGTGCAAACATACTGACACTGACACTAAAACATGAGTTTTTTCAAAAGATCAGATTCTTGTTGTAACTAAGAGCAAAAAAGAAAAATATGAACTTTCAGTTGCCTGTTATTTTACCAATTGATGAGATTTTACTAGTGTAGAAGCTGAAGCTCTGTGGAGTTATTAAATTGGTTCATTAATTTAGCTCTATTATAAATCTATGTCAGATTTAAAGGTTAATGCACAGAGAATAAAAGTATATGGCATCATGCATCCACAATCTGCAGGAAAATACTAGAGCCTTAACAGACATGTACTGGTAACTCAGTCTTTATGCAAAATGTAAAAATTATATTTAAGATATAATTATCATAACAATGTAATAAATACATGTATATTACATGTGCATCATCAATTCAGCACTTTTGGCTCATCTGTATTATTCTGCTCCATTAACACATTCATTTTATTGTGATGGATTTGTCTAACATGTTATATTACATGATTTATAGGCTTATTTATTGACTTTATAATGACTATGCAATGTGATAGGCCGATTTTTTTTTATTCTAAGTTAAAGTTAATCTACTGATGCTATGGAACAGCCAGTGTGTGTAAAAGTGATGAATTTATCTTTATTTTAAAAGTCTTAGTTACCTCTGAAAATGAGAACATCATGGTTGTTTGATGCTGTAGCACACTGATTGTTTACATTCTGACCGGTCTAACTAGGGAGTACCAATATGGCGACCGGTGGCTTCACCTCAACCCCGTACTACTAATGAGCAATCAGCAATCCAGGGAATAAATAGAGATCAGTGTTTTGAACTCTTAATGCTTTGAAGATTATTGAAGAGGCAAATAAATCCTTCTTAATTTAAATCACAAAACATGGTACTTTAAGACAGATCATTAACTCTCAATGACATGGGCACGTTGAAATATATATACATATATATGTATAATATATATATATATATATATATATATATATATATATATATATATATATGTGTGTGTGTGTGTGTGTGTGTGTGTGTGTGTGTGTCAGTGTGTGAAACGTTTTTTTATTTAAATGGCTTAAAAGGATTTATTTTATTGTCAGAAGCGCATTTTTTGCATTTTTAACACACTCCTATGCAGGTGGAAATGCCACTACCAATATGGCGGAGGCGCTGACGTGTTATTTCCCTTCCCTCCATATGACGTCTCCTTGTTGTCCAGCTCAGCCAATGAGAAGCGGGCGCCTCTGTCACCTTAATGCGCATGTCCTGTGACGCAGCACGTGGTTAGTGAAGCACGTAGCAGAAGCAAAGCAGCGTTGCAGAAATGGCGGCGGGCGACGGTAGCCTCCCGCAGCAGCTCCCTTGCGTTTTTTCACCTAAATCGCGGCAGTACTTAGCGGTGTGTGCCCAGGACGGCAGACTCCGCGTCTGGAACACCGACAGTAAAACTCTTCAGCAGGAGTTCGTGCCTTCAGCCCATTTAAGCGCTACTTGTACCTGCATAGCATGGGGACCATGCCGGACGGTGAAGGTAGGAGACACCGCTGCTAGCTGCTGCAGCTAGCCAGGCCTACAACACTTAAAATACTCTTATCAAACGTTTCAAATAAGAATAAGAATTCACATGCAGGTTGAATAAAACGAATTAAATGAAGTATGCTGGCTCTGCTGTTATTCCACACAGTTTTTATTTGCCTTAAATGGAGCAAAGCAGCTTCTCTCCGTTAGCTGCCTGGACGCACATGTTTCCCCACATGGTGATTATGAAAATATCTACAGCGATTTGTGTAACTATTTTACGGTTTAGTGCTTCAAACTTTGATTTGACTAAAACAAGCATCCGCTTTTATTCCGTGTCTGACATTAAAGCTTTATAAACCCTTTATTTGAGTTATTAGCCCGATGGACTTCAAACGTTTATTAAAACGCAGAAACTAGAATTTCAGATAAAATCCTGTAAAACTTAAGCTTAGATCAATAACAATACTCTGAATTAAAGTTTATAATCTGCCGGTGATCAGTGTTTATAACTCCAGCAAAGCTGTCAGCTCTCATTTAGAAGCAGCAGTGTTTAGTTGATCAACCCTTTATATCACCAACTTTGGGACATTGTTTCATTTGAGCATTTTGTAAACGCTAAAAAAAAGAAAAATCACTTTAATTATTAGGAAAAAAGGGAGTAATTTGTTACAAAAAATGTAGTTTTAATCAAATATAGTAGTTTTTAATGAATATAATTTTAATATGTATGAGCTTTAGATGTATTGATAGAAGCAGAATAGCTCAGTTTACCTTAATAAGTGAAATAACACGCAGCTGTCATTTTGCACATCTCTGATGTTGCTGCTATTTTAAAATATCCATTACTGTAAAAAAAAAACATAGTTGTATATTGGTCATTTATTCTCTAGGTGGACAGTTTTATATTCTAAAAACACTTTACAGTATTTTGTTGTTTATCTTTTAACTCTTCACTATTGTGTTATTCTGATACATTTTTCTGAGGTCCATATTTGTGTGAGAATTTTTTCTATAATCTTTTTGCTGCTGTAAACAGCAGAATTTCCCCTTTTTGGGACAATAAAGTGATTTCTATTGTAATAAGAATATAGAGAAGGAAAGATGGCAACAAAGAAGGTTCATGGATTTATTAATGATGCCTGGAGGAGAGGATGATGTTTGATGACAGCTGGAAAAACTTTTTAAAAACCCTTTAAATGATCCTATAGTCCAGCAATGCTGAAGGAAGGAATAAATATTGTTATAAAGATAATAGAAATTAATCCGTCTGTTTCTACATTCCATATCAATCTTTATTTATTAAATTCTGAATTTGTTTTGGTTCGAACTAGGGCTGGAAAATTCATTGGATTAATTTCAATTTTTCAATTATTGAAATAATTGTCAACTTATTTAGTAATTGATTAATCGTAAGCTTGAATATAGACTGTAAAACATGCCTTTGCATGACGGAGCGACCTTACAGCAATAATTGTACCAAAACAGCAGAAAATGCATAAATATTTTATATTTAAGATTCATTTTTCTGTTTTCTGTCTGTTAATATGCTCTACCCAGAACTCCTGAAGAAGAAAAGTTTTTGTTTCTATAAAGAAAATTTTTTAGGGATCCTTTTGCTATCTGATTGGGAAAAAAATTATGGACAGATTCCTCAATTAGCAAAATAATGGTTAGTTGCAGCCCTAGTTTTAACTATTCCATAGAAACACAAGATGGAAAAAAATTCAAGTTAGCTTGGCAGGATATTTGACTTTTATCTTGATAATTATTAATGTTATTAATGTTGGGGATGTAAAATTAGAAGCAGTTTAATGGTTTAATACCTGATAAATCTTTTAAAAGTTGTCAGTAAGATGCAATATGTTACTGAAATGATCTTCAGGAGGGGCCACAGAGGAAGAAGAGGAAATCAGAGGCGGCGCAGGTGGAGGAGAAGGCGGATCTGCTGGCTATGGGCACAGCGGCTGGAACTGTCCTCATCTACAGTACGGCCAAGGGAGCCCTGCACTGTACTCTGGTACGTACCGGAAACTTCACCCGAGGACTCCATTCTTCCTGATTACAATAAAAAATATCTTTATTTTAGATGCTGTATGAGCATGAAGAAAACTACCTGCAATGCTCAGCTATACATGTTCTTTCTGCTTCGAAATTTTAGACATGATGTTTTTACATTTTATGTTCTGCAATTAATCGGACCCGTAGATTTTTTTGTTGTATATTATAGGAGTTGAGGTGTCCTTTTAATTTTTTCAGAGTTTAAATTGTGAATAATTTTCTCCTTGGTAGGATGGAGCTCACAGTGGGGGAGTGAACTGTGTCCACTGGCATCCTGAAGACAGCTTATTATACAGCGGCTCAGACGACACAAACATCGTGGAGTGGGACTTGCAGAGCGGGAAAACACGGAGGTCAGTGTTTGCTTTATGGTCATTGCACACATGGAAGAAGGGAAGAACTTGGCTTAAAGAGATTTGCTTATTAAGATGTGCTCTAAACTAAGGAGCTTAATTCATTGACTTTTTCTTCCTGGTCTGTGGAATTAGCATCTTTTTGCCGATTGTTTAATTTTAAAGTTGTTTGGAATGGATAGTTTTTCTTAAGTGAAAGAGCTGGGAAAGCCAACAGGAAACACGAGAATGATTTGATCCTAAATCACGTCCCTGATATTTAGGCAAAGGTGCATTTTACCTGCAGGATCCTTTAAGGTTAGGAGGGATTCTCTACCCTCCCTCCGTTTCCTTTGTGTAACCAAAATAACCAGGGTTTACATCAGCAGCCATCTGTGGATAAAGTGTGAATTAATGTTTTTAAAGATTTTCCTTTGGGATTAAGAGGGCTTTCTTTCTGAGACATAGAAATAAAAACAACCACCACCTTGAAAAATGCCTCATAAAGGGGCAGCTTTTGAGTTCTGTGGCTGTTTGTCTCTTATGCTTCGCTTATAAACAATGGAGCAGTTTTAAGTTTGAGTGCAAGAAAACACCCAAGGTGTCATTTATTTTATCTACTTCCTACTAAAGAAACTAACTAACTCCCCTTAAAGTTTAACAGTTTAGCCTTTTTCTGAAGTTTATGGTGACTTTATATTCAGGTTTTATAAGATGCACTCACTGACAGATTCACCAGTTACACCTGTAGAGTTTTATTTTTCTAATAAGCTTCCTGCTGCTCTCAGCTGCTGTTAAGTTTCTTCATAAATTAAAGAACAAGCAGAGGGAAACACTGGTGCAACAGTTTGATTCTGGATTTGCATCTGTGAAGGAAATCTGTGTTTTGTTTTTTTCTTTAAGCTAATTGTTCGTCTGCTCCTAAGAACTGTTTTCCTGTATGTTTTAAATCAGCCCTTGTTGCATCGCCATCATTTTTTTTACAAGCTAAGTTCAATTTTTTACAAAATCTGCAATCAAAGAACTTCCTGTAGAAAAACACTGATTTGTTTTTCCCCAGACTCCTTTGGAAAGTTGTATCTGCTCTTAATTTTATCCAGAGTGGTGAAAGCAGACTGGCAGATTTTTTTTTTTTGCTATCAAAGTGATGACAAACTTTAAAGTTCTCTCAAGCAGAGCTGAAACAATTACACGGGATTCATCAATCATTCCAATAATTGTCAACGAACGGTAATCAAATAATATTTAACTGGAGAATAGAAACTGTAAAACATGCCTTTAGCTGACAGGACAATTCAGTTATAATATATATATATTTTTATTTAAGATAAGAAAAAAGTAAATTTGTCAATATGCTCTACCCAGAACCCCTCAAGTTTTAGTTTCACCTGGTTTATTTTCATAAAACATCCTCTTTAAGAAACCTTGTTAATCTGATTAATCAAAAAATAAAAAATAATCGACAGATTACTTGTTTGTAAAATAATCACCAGTTGCTGAAGTTTTTATCGTGTATCTTAGCAAAGCCTGGTTTTGGTCTCGGTTGGTTTCATGGCTAACGTCGTCTCCCCACAGTAAGTGGAAAGCGGACCGCGCTGCAGTGACCAGTTTATCTGTGAGCCCCGATGGGAAACTGCTCCTCTCAGCTGGACATGTGATCAAGATGTGGGATTTGGAGACCAAGGAGGTTTACAGGGTGAGTCTCCTCATAAATAAGCATAAAGATGGTGCCGTAGGCTCTCAGGTATAATTTATCTTGATTATCTCTGCTGTGACGTCATCTTTGCAGAAATTCACAGGCCATTCCACGGCCGTGACGACCCTGCGCTTTGCCACGTCACGGCCTCCTGACAGCAATGGCCTTTACTTCCTGTCAGGAGCAGCTCACGACAGACTCCTCAGTGTTTGGTGAGTTGATGACAATCATAAGATGATTCTGAAATAACAAATTGAGTTATTTTATATCAACTAGGGCTGGGCGATAATTCAATAACGATATATTGATCGATAGACGTGTGGCGCAATAGAAAAAAAGAGAGTCGATAAAAGTTTGATAAAGAAACGCAGTTTTCCTTCCTTCTCATTGTAGCCTAGCATGTAGGTTTATGCTAGTCACTGCTTCCTCCCAACCAATCACAATCGCGGACCCAGGCACGCCGTCACCAAGCGCCGCCCTCTCAAACCACAACACAGAGCACATGAAGATGTCGCAGCAAGGAGAGGCGGAGGAAATTGTTCCAAAGAAGGGTTGTCCATTTATTTATTTGTTATATTTATTTTGGTCACTTTTCTGGTCACTTTAGTTTATTCTTTGTCAGTATTTAATAACATAACTCAGGTCTCTTCAGTTATTTTTCTTTAAAACAATTCTGTTATGGTTAAAAAAGTTGGTTAAATAAAAATTTAATTGGAAGTCTGTGTTTGTGTTCTTTATTAAAATTAAATCATTTAACAATATTATAAAATGTCCAGGCAGAGCTGCACATAAAATATGGTTTCAAATCTTTTCAATAATTATCAATATCGATCATATGCATTTTTTTTTATCGATAAGCTTTTTTTCTATATCGCCCAGCCCTAATATCAACCCATTTAAAGCTTAAGTTTAGCAGCTATAAATGTTTCCACTTTCTACCCATTTCCATCCTGATTCACTGCATCTGTCCATCTAGTCTTTTCCTCCTGGGAACCAGAAAGATCTCATCCTCATTACAGCCGTTTCATGATGGCCTAAAAATGTCCAGGAGCGACTGGATCACAGGACAAGTCTAACATTTATCCCTCAGTGCATTAAACCTGTTTCAGAAACTTGTTTTTCTTTAGGGAGATTTGCTCAGTGGTCTAAATATTCAGGAATTTATCCCAAACATTGAAAGTAAACGTGAGTTTAACTGTGGGACGATGTGGTCCTTTATTTATTTTTCCTTTCTATAACTGTGACCAAAGGTCAGGTTTAGGGCTGCAACTAACGATTATTTTAAAAATCGATGAATCGGACGATTATTTTTTAGATTAATCGATGAATCGGACAAAAATATTTTTTATATTAACCTCTTTATTCCAAAATAAACATTATAGACAGAACAAACAAGCACACAAGTACAGGTTGCTCATTAACTGTACTGGTGCAATATGAAAAATAAATGTTTGTGTTAAAACTACGCAAACTTACTTGAGAAATGTAGCTGTACATCCACAAAATATAGGCTACTTTGTTTCATAAAGCGCAAAAAAAGACATTTTTGTTTTTAAAGCCCCTAAGGGGTTCAAACAATAGGCCCCCCCCATTTCAACAAATGAGTTTTTTTAGACTAGAAGAGTTCTGCCTTTTAAGACAGGAAAGTATAGCAGTTAAAGTTGCTACTTGAGAAAATACTGAACCATAGAGATAAAAATAGCCCTGTGATTCAAATTATAAATTGTATTTGGAATAAAAATGAGAGAACTAGGGGTGCTAAAAAACACATCCTCCAAAGACAGATATTTACATGGGAATGTGGCAGATAATTAATTGACATATTACTGATCTTGCTGGATTTTATTCTGCTTTACTTCTATAAATTGCAGGATCTTCTTTACTTTATCTTTGCCAGATTTAAACTTTAAAAGTCTTGCCCTCATAATTTGCAAGTTAATTTATTTATAAAGTAAATGTAAACGCTGCTTAAGCTAGTTCAAATGAAATTAAAAGTAAAATAAGTAGCCAACCTTATCACTGTCTGTAACCTACTAACACGGTAAGGAAAGCATCAGATGAGCTACCTGAGAAACTAACGTTACGTTTCCCCACTTTAAAACCAAACAAACATGGTGGTTCCGTGCCATGTTCACTTCTTTTGAAAAAAGTTGCATGTTATCATTTTTTTTTCGCTTTACAAAGCGCAGGCTATTTTAATTATTGTGATCAATTTGCGCCGCCAATCCCGGCGCATGCGCGCTTCATTTGCAGTCTGGACGCTGAGGCTCTGACTGCAGCGCTGAGAGGGACTCCTGCGGGAAAACGCGGTTGGGGTGGGGGAGGCGCCCCACGGCAGAGTAGGAACGATACATGCTTTCACGTAAGAGTCTCTAAAAGCCGCCAGTGACACAGAAAAAAGTCGCCAGATTTGTCGCTAGTCGCTTTTTTGAAAAATAGTCGCTGGAGGGGTCTGAAAAGTCGCGGAGTTGGCAACACTGCTCCTGCGGCGCTGACTCGCTCTGCCGTATTTTTTTTCCTTCCTCTTTCAGTCAAGAGGCAGTGATGACGGCGCAGCGGATGACGCAATAATCGCGCGACACGACTAATCGATGATGAAATTCGTTGCCAACGCTTTTAAAAGTCGATTTTTATCGATTTTATCGATTCGTTGTTGCAGCCCTAGTCAGGTTATCCTCCTGCAGCAGTGTGTCGCAAATATTTCTGATTTATGCCCAATATTGAAGTGTGGTCTGCGCTATGTTATTCCACGTCATAACGCCAGAGGGCCAATCAGGAACTAGCTGTGGGTCTAGATACGGCGAAGGAGGTGAGGAAGTGGGGGGGAAGTTTGTGCGACAACGGAGGGACATGAGGGCCAAAAAGAGCGGGGATCCAGGTGGAAAAAGGGTCCCAGGTTCTCACGCACCTCGCTCTGCTAGTGGGTCTAACGAGTCGTTTGGCCAATCAGAGGCCTCCTCTCTGCGGCACTGTCTGCGATCACCTACAATTTTAGAGAGGTGCAGCAGAGTCTCTGCTGAGGGGTGGGGGGGGACGTGTTAATTACTTTATTGATTTGGTACCCAAACTGTGTTTGGGTACCAAATCGTTGTACAGTTAGATTTTACATTAATTCTCAATAGTACCCATGAAATGTGGTCTGTTAAAGCACCTCTGGAGGTAAAGAGCTCTGCGCCCTAATGGTTATGCTCTGCCAATCATTTTACAAACTGGATTTTCCTTTTTCATACTGCAAACCTGTTTTTATTTTACCATTAGTTTAAAGAGTAAAAAAAAAAAAAACAACCTTGTGTAATAAGGGGGGGGGGGACTCAATGACATAGCAAAAACAAAACGTGTTGCACTATTCTTGCACACTGTTGCACTTTTATCCACAGCTTTCTTTCCGCCGTCATCGTAGGTCACTCTAAATGCAAAGTGGTCCCATACAGCAGACCTATAAAGTGCTGCTGGCGCGTCTTCCAACTCCTGTTCTTTCCCACTCGCCATACCCACACAATTCTCCACAACAACTGATTTTTTTCTGCTACACCCGGCTACGCTGCTTCGCTTCTTCTTCTTCTTGTTTACTACTGGTGGTTGGCTTTGGTCTCAGTACCGCCACCTTCTGCTCTGGAGTGGAAACGCTTCGCCTATGAGAAAAAGGAGCAGCGCATGAACCGAACGAAACACACGCCAACCGAACCGAGACAGTCGAACCGAACGGTTCGGACGGTTTTCATAAACCGTTCCAACCCTACTATATATATCGGAGAGTGTCATGGGTACCGTAATTTTCGGACTATTAGCCGCACCAGACTATAAGCCGTGGGTTTTTTATGTTTAACACAAACTGTCTCTTGCTCGCAGTGTCCGTCTTTCTCGCTGTCGTTCTGTCTCGTACCACTCGTTGTAGAAGTCTGCTTCCGGAGGACCTCCGCATTCCCGAGCGCGCGGCTACCGTACTTGTGTTGAATCAAATGTGACGTCAACATGGTGGATGGTAAAATCTATAGATTTAGGTATTACCCTAGTGGCCGTTAGCTGTAAAAGTCCACAGATAAGCCGCGTTGTTATATAAGCCGCAAGGTCAAAAAATGGGGAAAAGTCGCGGCTTATAATCCGAAAATTACGGTACTTGTTGGAGGTATTAAAATTATTTCTAATGGCATTAAAAAGCATTAAATTACTTAGTTACTCGTTCCTTTATGAACCCTGAAGAGAGGAAACATTTTTCTCCTGTTGAATGAGACGTTGAATGTTTAAATCTGAATGCGTAGAAGACTTGAATATTTAATTGCAAGTAAAATGTAATCTGATTGTTTAATAAATTAATAATAAATAGATCAGTTGCATTTCCTGCTTTATTGTGAAATAGATTTGAGGCCATATCACCCAGTCACACGTTCATGTCAAATGTGAACCAACTTGGAAACTTGTTGATGTCAAAAAGGAATCCATGTTTCTCACTCTGTGTTTAATAGGATCAGGCTGTTGGTTAAACATCCTGATTGATGAATTGGTTCTCATTCGCTGTGTCTGATTTAAAGGCAAGTGCGAGAAGACAGGAAGGACAAGAACTCAGTGGTTTCCTTCACTCTGACGGATGAACCTCAACACATCGATCTGATCCCATCTAGCAGCAAAGAAGAGGTCGGAGCGCCGTCCGTCTGGTGTCGCACATCTTTGGAGAAACTGTATTCTGTTTATATTTGATTGGACGTTTTTCTTTGTTTGCTGCAGGCTGTACGGCTGGCGGTGGTGTGTAAGGATGGACAACTGCATCTGTTTGAGCACTTTTTAAATGGGTGAGCTTGTTAAAAACAAGAAATAGTTCATTTTGGAGCCTTTTATGGAAGAAAACTGGTGCCGCTGCATCGGTCAAAAATGAAAATGCTTGAATTTCTCTCATATGGTTGAATGTTTTAGTTGCAATTCAGCGTTGTGTGTAAAACTAACAGGAGTGTTCACACAGGCCTTGCAAGAAGCCGCTGTCGCCGTCGTGTTCGGTGCAGATGTCTGACACGCAGGACACCCCGAGTCCCATCCCGCTGCTGGCGGCGGCGCTTGGAGCCGATCCGAGGGCCGTGATGCTCGCTTACGGGAACCATCTGCAGCCTGTCATGGAGAAAGTGGTGAGGATGTTGTAAGGGTGTAAATAATAATCGTTTTGTATCGATGCAACAACCGACGATCCGATCCGTCGGAGCACGTCTGAAAGAGTATCGATTAATGTTAGGTTCTTTTGGTTTGCTTTTTTCCTCCAGTCTATTTTTATCCGTTTGCTCCTGGATGTAATTCTGACTCCCGTGCTGCGGTGGCGCTAAACCTGTTTTAAAATCTTACCTCGCTTCCTTTAGCCACACCCTCTTTCCGCTTGAACACACACGGAAACAATAGGCAAGACAGACACGGTGGAAATAATCGAATGGTTTGGTCAGGAAACTGATACTGAATCGAATCGCCATGATGGGTGTGATTTACACCCCTAGGATGCTGTATCTACACATTTCTGATTTTATATATTATTTTTTGTTAATTGCTTAGATTGTTGTAATAGATTTCATCGTATTACTATTCCTTGGTGTATTTTTGATTCAACTGCATTGAAGAAATGTAAAATCAACTAGAGATGCTATAAAGCCTGGTTCCCATGAGGAGATAGTTGTGCTCATTTTTGCACTGATTTTCACGAGTGGTGCTTTAAGTAATCAGGTCTGCTTGGAAATATTTCCCGACTCCAACATTTGCAAAGCAGAGAAATCCATCGTCTATCATAGCAGACGAGGACGCAGCCTGTCCAATGTGACGCGTAGCCAATCAGAAAGCCTCTCCTAGTTTTTAAACCAACAACCTACAATAGGAGTATTGTAATGTCTTTTCTCTCTCATAGTTGGTCTATTAACTCTACTGCTGTGTCCTCTGTGAACTTTTGAGATTCTGCTAGATTTTTTTTTTTTTTTTTTACTTGTGGGTTAGTTTTCAAAATAAAATAATTTTAAAATCACGTAGTATGAATCAGGACTGGAAAAAAATGAACCAAAAGTTTTTTTTTAATCTAAAGGTAAATTTTTTTTAACACTTATAAATGAGGCCTAGAAAAATATTCAGATAATCTTTTTTTTTTTGTGTGTGATATTTTTAGTGCAGTGTTTACAGTAGTTATTTTTTTAGTTTCTTTTACAGTTTTCTTTAGTTTCAGAGTGAAACCAGAGATGCAAAGGATTTTATTTCTGATTCCACTTTAGTTCCTTTTTTTCCTCTTTGCAGAGAAATCAAAGAATTGACGATTTGTTCCTTTTGTACTTTAACTGTAGAAACATAAAGACATGAATTTGCATCTTTAGTTGATCTAAATGTTTTTAAAGGACAGTTTAACAGAGTTAAACCAAACCAAAGCCCTTTTTTCCCTAAACTCTGCTCAGTGTCCGTTTACCATCCAGTCTTTCTTCTGCACTTACAGGAGATCAACACAGCGGAGAGACACGTATGTTTGACACGAGACGTGAAGACCAGCCTGTCCCTCTCCATGGAGACCACCGCCTCCAAGGTAAACAGGCTTTATTGATCTTTTCCTTTTTATTATTCTAGTAAAAGAAAACTTTGCTGCAAGTCATCATTTCCAGACTCTTAATCTGTTTGATTCGTCTTTTCCAGGTGAAAACTCCAGTTATTAACGCGAAAAGCAAAGTTTTGGTTCCAGGGCTGCCGGGTCATACGGCGCCTTTAACGGCGGCTCAACAGGGAACGGAAAAGAGGAAAAAAGACTCTGACAATAAGGAGGTAGAGTCTCCGCCGACAGCAGAACATCTGGGCGAGGAAACATTTGGATTTCCCCATTGATGCAACTTTTTTCCTTCCAGCTGTCCATAGCTGAGCGACTCGGTGAAATCGACCTGGAAGCAGTTTCCAGCCAAAAAGGAGCTTCTAGAGCGACGGCTTCGTTACAGACGGACAACTTTGCCGTTCTTCTGATGCAGGGCCTAGAGAGCAATGATGACGACATCCTAAACGTATGTTTCCTTTACATTCTACTGTTAACCTGTAATTACTAATAAAAATCTTTAACTTCAGGATGGAGTGATGCTTCTCTGCTCATTTGAATCTTTTTTTGTTTTTTTGCAGAAAGTTTTCCAGACTCGTAAAGATGTGTTAATAAAAAAGACGGTTGCTAGGTTACCTCTCTCTGCCGTTATACCGTTAGTTGAAGAGGTAAGAATAATAAATATGACTTTTAACCCTTTAGAGACACAGACCTGCACACATTTCTCCTCAGCATCTCACTCACACCTTTACTTCTCCTCTATATCGTTCATAGCTAACAAAGAGGCTCCAGGGGCACCCTTTGACGTAAGCTCAACACTTTGATTTGCTGCTGCTGTCCTCTGCAGCCTTTTCCTATCTCTAATAAATCCAAGGTTCTGGTTTTTGACGAGCATCTCTGCTCCTTCCTGCAGGGCGTGTCTGATGGTACGATGGCTGAAGGCGGTCCTCATGCACCACACATCATACCTGGCATCGGTGAGCCCCCATCACTCCGATCTTTGGTGCTCAGATAAACCCGTCAGCTGTTAAATGATCTGCTCCACTGAGCCGTTTCCATCCTCTCCTCTGCAGCTGCCGGACCTGGTCGCCCAGCTGGGGGTGCTTTATCACATGATTGAGAGCCGAGTGAAGATGTTCCACAAACTGACAAAGCTGCATGGAAAGCTGCATCTCCTAACAACGCAGGTGGGTTTCATCTTTGCTCCATCTGAAAGCATTTTTAAATACTTTAAAATCAAGCAAAAGATGCTTTGAAGGATAAATAAAATAAAAGGAAAATGTTTTCATTTACCACCAGGAAGTTAAATCTTTATCCTGTGAGCTTTTAGGTAGATGGAAATTAAATCAAACTCATGAAGCTTAAAGCTTGGTTTTTGCTTGAGGTGTCTGCGCAGCCAAATTACATCATTTTGAGCTTCTACGCCCAGAATTATATTAATTCCCTAGATGCTTCTTGCAGAAACTCTTATGTTGGTTAAACATCCTACTCTTGATGTAGTTACCAAAACGACAAACTGCTGCATTTATTCTGTCAGGGAAAACTAATCCTGAGTCCGTTAAAAGTCAGGGAATTCTGAAATGATGTCAGACTGTGGAAACCCTGAATAAAATAACTATGTTTAATGATTCTCTAGAAAAGTCACATTATATTAATAGTATTATCTCGTATTAACATACCGGGACTCTAAAATAAGTTATTCATTTGTGACATTGACTTCTGTCTTGTGATTTATCTTAAGTTTTTAACCTGTCAAGTTTTTTTTTTAGATTTTTAACGTTACAATTTATATTTTTCCAAGCACACAACAGTTTAAAGCAAAGTTTAGTTAGAAAAGAATGAGCAGGAAGGATTGAAAAGCATGTTAACACGGTAATGTAGGCTGGAGTTCATTATCTGACCCATGCAGATACACACCAGGAACCTGGAAACTTAAAAAATACTGAATTACAAAAAACATTTAAAAAACAAACATGTTTCATTGATATATATATATACAAAAATGAATATTAGGAACTATATTTATCAAACATTATACTGGGCAAGGAAAAATAGTTTCTGGGCAAATGAAATGTGAAAATCCTTAACGTCGACCCCTGAAGATGTGGAAAAACTCCAGGAAAGAAATGATTGTCCTTCTCAAACAGCATGAAGAGGCTTTGAAGTTGTAAAGGAGCCGTTTCCTCGTGAGGTGTGGCGTTGTCATCCTGAAGCTGTTGCTGAATTTGCCCCCCTGGAGCGGCCAGTATGGGGGAACGCTGCGCAGACGATAAATGCTGCGGACGCTGTGACGGACAGCTCCAATGTCTGTTCGTCAGGCGTAACGAGCCGTTTGATGGTGTAGTGAGCGATGCTACAGATCATTGTCACATAGAAAACACAGACTGGATCACGCGGATCGTCTGGGTTCAGGTTGAGCAGAAGCACAGTGGCTTTGACCCCCCAGCTGCTGACCGGAGGGACGATCAGCCTCAGACAGTAAACTGGGTGACTGATCCTTTTCACACATGTTGCTGTCTGTGGTGTAAAGGAAGTAAGTTGTTCTTTCCTGTCAGATGGGAAAGAAACCATTTTGATTTGATTACGATCGTCCTAAAGCTGTTTGGACTGTTGATGAAATATTCCACAGAAAGACTCGTTTCTCAGTGAGACACGGTGTGAGGATGATCTCCTCCCTGTAGTTTGGTTAACAGTCTTTTATTCATAAACCGAAGCTCACTTTCTGCTCTGGTAATAGTTTCAGGTTAAAAAAGACTTTCTAAATCCTTTTGCATCGGATTCCATAAAACGAGCATCAAATGTTTATTTTTAAAGAAAATAAAATCCCACCAGGGCCAATTCATTTAAGCAACACGGTCGTCAAAAATAACAAAATAATTAAAAGACAATATAACAGGAAGCTTAAAATGAATAATTAAAACAAAAAGATGGTGAAGATTTCTTAATAAAATCTCGTACTTGTGGAAGTTTAAATTTAATATTTGTTGTTGGTAATCAACGAGTTGTGAGTTAAGTGGTTAAAACATGTAGAGCCTTTAGAACAACTGGTTTATCGTCTCCTCCATGTAAGAAGTTTTCTGTCTGGTTTACTGCTGGCTTACATTTAATTAAATTAATTAGCTGTTCTTCTAACACTTTGTTCCTAATTCTTCCACTAGGTGGCAGCAAATGACAGCAGCAACGCTGTGTCAGAGGTCGACCATACAGCTAAACTGGTGTATGAGGAAGGTGAGTGTTTAGTTCTTCATCCTCTGCATTTTAAATCACCTTCTGCTTTTGCCCGGTTCTCACCTAACGACCTCAGATCGCCGCTTCAAAGATCTCATAGAAACTTTTTTTCAGCATCTGTTTAGTTTCCTTTTCTTAAAAGATCTCTCTCTGCCTGTAAATGTAAAGCTTGTTGCCTGGCAACCTTACTGTTGTGTCTCAGATCGTCCCCTTTGAGCAGGACGTCGCTCTCGTTTCTCACTTTGAGATCAGAGACCAATCATGGTTGAAGAACTAAGGTCTCTAAGCCAGCGACTTTTCCTCTGAAATCAATACAGGAGAAATTTCTCTATTTCTCCATTGTTTCCTGTCCCTCCTTGTCTCTCCATGCAGCTTTCATTAATGCGCCGTTTTCATAGAGGAAACTCTCATGGTTACCATAAACTTCAGCAGGATTTGATGTCAGCCAGAACAAAGCGAAATGTTTTCTAGTTGGTCTTCACCAGTTTGTGTCCATGTCCCTTTAAAGGTGGAGAATGAATGATTGACAGTTAGGAGGACCACTTATTTTGATGATCCACCCAGAACATCCCCCCACTACACCTTTAAGCCCTCAGTATATTTGTATAGCCCCCCCCCCCCCCCCATTTTTTAAAGCTCTCTGTTTAGATGGCTACCCTTCCATTTGGTCGACCATTGATGAAGCATCTGTCTATTGGTTTGGTCAACTGACTGTTAATTGATTCAGTTTCCCAGCTGTGTCGTCGTCCAACTGGTCATTAGTCTATTGTTGGGCTGGGTATTTTGGTCCTGAATCGATTTGATTTTTATTCATACAGTTCTAATTCGATTAATTTCGATTCGATCTGTTTTTACAATAGTGAAAGTGGTTCAACTGTGTTTCAAAATACTCATGTATTTTATTTTTATTTTCCTGTCACATTAAACACAAACTGCAAACTTGTAAATCGGACAGTTTGAACTTGACATGTGAACAAAACTGTCTCATAAAGCCAAACTTGTTTGTGAAAAGTGAAAAAGTGAAGCCTCACTACAGCGAGCAGACGTGACACTTGAGCTGCAATTATCTTCAATGAACAAACCAAATGTGCAGCGTTGTCTGTAACTGCAGGGTGTTCGCTGCTCAGCCTCCATTTGTTAATGTCTTCAGTCAACCTATTGGCTTTATTTCCAGCTGTCTGAAGTCATCTTTAGTGCATCTTTCCTGCTTATTTGAATGTAACCGTAACATGCGTCCCTATAAATCTAATCAATCTCATTCCCTAGACATCGATTTTGCAAAAATGTAAAGGAATCGATTTAAGTTTAGCGTTAAGTTTAAGTTTAGCGTTGGTCGGCCACATGTCCCGAACGTTGCTCTGTTCTGCAGACCTTTGGCTCTGTTGTTCATCAGTTTGTTAATTCTGTCTGCGAATTCAGCTCTGATCTGGCAGCAGAGATTAAAGCAATATATCAGGGCTATTTCATCATCATAACCACTGTAAGCTAAACCCGTATCTCAAAGGATTGTTTGAAGTTCATCCATTTTGAGCTTAAAGTTCCAAGAGGGAGGAAATAATGTTTTAAATGGTAACATAGTTTAGTCAGTTGTGTTTTAATGCAGTAGAATCCTCACTGGAAACCAGTGACTTCACCAGTATGCTAAAGATGAGATGCATATATTGCAGCATTTCCACATATTATCATCATTGCAGGGCTTTTTAATAACATGCATTCCTCTCATCACACATGAGCTCATTTATTGTCCCTTTTGTAGAGTCGTCTGACGAAGACGACGCCTCTGTTGATGAAGCTCTTCCAGATGAAGGCTCAGATGTAAGTTAGGCTCCCCTATCACAGCAGTTTATCCTGAAAAAGACTTTAGGCTCATCACTGACAGGATTTTATTTATATATTATTTTCACAGCACTGGGATGAAGAGGAGGCGATGCAGGACGACGAAGACGACGATCCTGACAGAAGAGAAGAAGCCAAAGCGAACGGCGAGGAGGACATGGAGCATGAAAACGAGAGCGAAGAAGAATGAAAGCAAAACCATTTCAATGATTCACCACACGGACTTTAAAGAGTTATATATAAACTGTCATTTTATTTTCAAGCCTTTTGATTTTATTATCAGGAAAAAGAAAAATTGGTTTTACAAAATAAAGGGACGCCTTCCAGCGGCGACCTTTCCTTCACGGCTGCATCCATTGCTGGTTCTTCTCACCCATTGAAACTACAGCTGATGCAGATCTTCATCTCTGTGCCCCCCCACCCCCACTAGAGCTGCCGTTAGGTTCGTCCTCTGCATTCCAAAATGTGTCCTTAATTACTTCAATATAGTTCAGAATATAAACTGTCTTTTCTGGTTGGTTTAATTGAACTCTGAAGCAAACAAAAGGAAACTGGGCGCTATGGTGGAGCCGGGATGGAGACCAATCCCCCCCCCCCCGGCTGATGTACAGGATACAGGAAGTGGGACTGAAAGGCGACATCGTTCGTCGCCGTCCCACACTGTGTAAATCTTTATGTACAGTGAAGTGTTTGTACGAGCTCTTCCCTCTACACAAATCTTTGGGATTAAACAAACTTCTGTTATTTCTCCTAAATCAAGTTTCTTTTCTTGCCTTGTTTTCACAGCAGTTTTTCATCTTTAGGAGGAAATATTATGCAAAATGACCTTTATGGGTTTTTTTCTGTCATTTATGTCTTCTGTATCGTTTGTCAATAGCCCCAGTTTTGTTGCCACTGCCCCTCAGTTTTTACTCTGGAAAAACGATCTAGAAAGAAGTAAACCTTTTTTAAATTAAGTGTATTTACCCTTAATTTGAGTAGGTAAATGAGGTAGTATTTTTACTCTTAAAATAAGATAATTATATAACATGCACTTGAAATAAGACGATGCATTTGTGTTTTCTTATTTTAAATCTACATTGTCTTGATCCATTGGCAAAATTCTCTTTTAGCTTCTTAATTCAAGAACAAATGCACTTATTTTAAGAAATAATGACTTATCTAGATTTAGATTTTTTCCAGTGTTTTATCATACTTGGATAAAGTATAATTATTTTATTAATTTACAGAAGTTATTACAGACAGTAATATATGCTGTAAATTCCATATAATCCACTTAAACTGAACCATGGATGCTAACGGTTAGCGTGGTGCTAATTCCCACTTACACTCCTATAGAGATGCCAGTTCTATAAGCATCAAAGTTTTTCTCAGATTCTTCTGGCAACCAAAATACTTCTCAGGTGTTTCCTAAACAAACCATGACTTGCAGGAACTCCACTGCTTTCTGCATCCTTATTGGTTGTGCAATAGGCTCCACCCCTTCTGCTCTGGATCAAACATGCACCATCATCTAATATCCATCTGTCTGCAGCCACTGAGGCAGATTAAGCTTTGAGGAGGGATGTGTTCATCTACAGCTTTACATTAAAGGGATAGAGCCCTAAAAATGGTTCATTCTGAAAGGAACTCGGCAGATGAAATGTAACAAACGTCTTAAAGGTATAGTGGACGATTTTTAAAGAACTTTTGAAAACACCCTCTCCACTTAAAAAAAAAAAACAACCGGTAGGAAAGGCCTATTAAATGGATGTGAGAGCATGAATGAGCCCATTTCTCCTCGTGCACGCTCTGTTTGAAAGCTGCTGTTTGCGTCGCTCATCCAAGCTTACTTTCTAAAAGAAGATCTGGAATTTTTCAACCATGTCAGACTCACCAACGGTAAGGGAAAATGGGGACGAGCACGTAGGACGGCCTTACGCAAACATATCACCAGAATGATTGACGGTTAAGAGGACCAGTTATGTTGATGATCCACCTGGAAAAAGAACATCCTCCACTGTACCTTTGAATAATCAAATGAACAGTGTTTGATTGGCTAATTTCCAGATGAATCCAGCTGAGAGTATCTCTGCTCATCTTAGTGCATCTCCAGGGTTTGTTGGGTTTACTCTGATTTAAACAGTTAGATATTTTCTTTACTGATTCCTTTCTAGAATTCTGTTATATATGATAACTGAACAGCAGCTAAACTGAGCTGTTTTGTTGGTACCATTGCTAAACTTGCTAAGTGTTACTCTGTAATATACAGGTGCTGGTCATAAAATTAGAATATCATGAAAAAGTAGATTGATTTCAGTAATTCCATTTAAAAAGTGAAACTTATATATATTATATTCATACATTACGTACAAACTCATATATTTCAGATGTTTATTTTGTTTAATTTTGATGATTACAAATGACAACAAATGAAAATCTCAAATTCATCATATCAGAAAATTAGAATATTGTGAAAAGGTTCAAAATTGATGGCCCCTGGTGCCACACTCTAATCAGCTAATTAACTCAAACCACCTGCAAAAGCCTTTAAATGGTCTTTCAGTCTAGTTCTATAGGCTACACAATCATGGGGAAGACTGCTGACTTGACAGTTGTCCAAAAGACGACCATCGACACCTTGCACAAGGAGGGCAAGACACAAAAGGTCATCGCTAAAGAGGCTGGCTGTTCACAGAGCTCAGTGTCCAAGCACATTAATAGAGAGGCGAAGGGAAGGAAAAGATGTGGTCGAAAAAAGTGTACAAGCAAGAGAGATAACCGCACCCTGGAGAGGATTGTGAAACAAAACCCATTCAAAAATGTGGGGGAGATTCACAAAGAGTGGACTGCAGCTGGAGTGAGTGCTTCAAGAACCACCACACACAGACGTATGAAAGACATGGGTTTCTGCTGTCGCATTCCTTGTGTCAAGCCACTCTTGAACCACAGACAGCGTCAGAAGCGTCTTGCCTGGGCTAAAGAGAAACAGGACTGGACTGCTGGTGAGTGGTCCAAAGTCATGTTCTCTGATGAAAGTAAATTTTGCATTTCCTTTGGAAATCAAGGTCCCAGAGTCTGGAGGAAAAGAAGAGAGGCACTTCATCCACGTTGCTTGAAGTCCAGTGTAAAGTTTCCACAGTCAGTGATGGTTTGGGGTGCCATGTCATCTGCTGGTGTTGGTCCATTGTGTTTTCTGAGGTCCAGGGTCAACGCAGCCACATACCAGGAAGTTTTAGAGCACTTCATGCTTCCTGCAGCTGACCAACTTTTTGGAGATGCAGATTTCATTTTCCAACAGGACTTGGCACCTGCACACAGTGCCAAAGCTACCAGTACCTGGTTGAAGGACCATGGTATCCCTGTTCTTAATTGGCCAGCAAACTCTCCTGACCTTAACCCCATAGAAAATCTATGGGGTATTGTGAAGAAGAAGATGCAATACACCAGACCCAACAATTCAGAAGAGCTAAAAGCCACTATTAGAGCAACCTGGGCTATCATAACACCTGAGCAGTGCCACAGACTGATCGACTCCATGCCACGCCGCATTGCTGCAGTAATACAGGCCAAAGGAGGCCCAACTAAATACTGAGTGCTGTACATGCTCATACTTTTCATGTTCATACTTTTCAGTTGGCCAACATTTCTATAAATCCTTTGTTTTTATTGGTCTTCAGCAATATTCTAATTTTCTGATATGATGAATTTGAGATTTTCATTTGTTGTCATTTGTAATCATCAAAATTAAACAAAATAAACATCTGAAATATATGAGTTTGTATGTAATGTATGAATATAATATACAAGTTTCACTTTTTAAATGGAATTACTGAAATCAATCTACTTTTTCATGATATTCTAATTTTATGACCAGCACCTGTATATTCTTTAAATGTCTCAAAAATTGTGACCTATAACTTTCTTGGTGTGCAGAAACAGTGTTGATCTTCATAATGTGGACAATAACAGGATTTAGATTAGATGCATTTTATCTTCATTTAACTGGAAAAGGTGGGAACTGGTCCTAAATGTTCAAAACTATTAAATGTTAGTTTTTGGATTTTAACAATTTCAAACCAGTTTAAATTAAATTTAAGTATGATTGTAAAAAAAAAAAAAAAAAAAGAGAGAAAATATAGAATAACTTTCCATAAAATAATTGGTGGCAAAGTCTTGGAAAGGCTGAAGAATAGGAACAAAATATTTTACTGAAGCCAGTGTTAATCACACAGACATTTTAAAATGTTAGAATTTAATTGGTCAAAAATGTTTGGTGTATATTTTGATAAAATCAAGAACAAGCTTTATAAATGTAGATGCAGCTGTATTGGTGTCGCCCCAATCAGGGCATGTTTCCCCCGGTGGAGGGCCGAAGGGCCGAACTGAAAACTCTGCACACAATCCTTCCCCACGCTGCTAATAAATACAGAAAATATTTTCTCTTCTTCAAATAGAATATTTTATTTACTTGTTGCACCCACTTCAAAATCTTAATAAGGATAAAACATCCAAAATCAAAAGAAAGTCCATGCACATTTCTCTGAAACGAAACAGAATCATTAAAAAACAGTATAAAAACAAACAAAAAGCATCTCTGGCATTCAGACAAAGGGCCCCATTTATGCAAAAGGGAAGCTTGTTCTAATGTTTGGAATTAAACTAAAACTTCATGTTTAGTTGAATCAGAAGCACTGAGTTTACTTTGGAAACTAATTTTCAGGAGTTATATGTCATGTTTGAAGACGAGAAACCTTTATTTAATCGATGTGATCAAAAAATACAGAAGAAAACAAGTGAGGCGCTGAGAGAGACACAAGCAGAATCACTGAGGGCCTCTGCTGCCCTGTGGGCCCCAATAATCAGAGAGCTCTATGAAAAGATTCATCAATCATACATGATTATAACAAACTTTTATCATTTAATCATCACACCTGTGCAGAATGACACAAAACTTATATATATATTAAGAGCTTGTTAAGTTCCATATTAACTTTTCCTTCGACCAATCAAATTGACCAGAGCAGTGCTGGCCACGCCCACTGCCTTTGATCAGTTTGGCTCATAGAATAAATAAGATCCGTTCTTCATGTTCTGGACCAAAAAACTATAAACTAATTACAGCTTTCAATCAAAATTGTTATTAATAACATTTTTAATTAATGACAGGTGTATTTAATTCACTTTAAATGATGAATGCATCATGTCACCTAAGTAATGATTTATTGTTTTATGTATTTATTGAGTGTTGGCACTTTTGGTTTACATAGTATCATGGTCACCATGTTGTTTTGAAGCTAACTAGTGGGGAAAATAAAAAAACTATACATTTTTTAAAGGAGCAGTTCACAGTTATCATGTGGTTAGTAGTAATTTTCTTTTGTGAAACTGATTACTAAGCAGGCGTTAGTACCTGTTGTGCCTTGGACCGTTTTAAAAACAGGATTAAAAGCAAAGATAGAGTCTAAGAAAACACATGAAACATTAGATAATACAGAAATGATGGAAAGTTCAGCAGGTTCTGATGAGCAGTTAAACTAATATGAACCTGGAAATAATTTATCTGAAGCTGCTTTTTTTATTATTTCTCTCTTTAGGATAAATATTGCATGAAAAAAACAAAAAGAATTAGAATAAAGAAATTCAAATCTACTTTATGAAAAACCTCCAGTTTTGAAAAATGTAAACAGTGCAGTTCATCTGCTCTTGGCTGTGATAGCATTGTGAAAATTACACACCAAAAAAAAAACATTAATCTTTGCAAAAACAGCCAGAG